TCTCCCCACCCCCTTTTACTCCCACCCTCCCTCCTCGCCACGCCGTCGCGCAGGTTTGTTGTTGTTGTCGTTAAGCGCGCATATCGGAGCTCTTCTGACGGAGGGAAAAGCGACGCGGCAAGGAAGAGAGAACGTGAGAGAGCTCTCGCGAAGGAACAAACGCAACCTCCCACGCGCAAAGAGAGCGAGACTCAGTGGACCGAGGGCCGCCACAACAACGACATTCCTTCACGCGCAAAAGGCTCACTCGCTCTATCCCTTTTACGGCTTTGCGTGTGCGCACTTGCTTTTGCCTCTCTCGCTCGAGCCCTTGGCTATGTGTTTTTTTTTTGTTTTGGTTCTTGCTGGCGTAGAGAATCCGCGTCGCTCGCGATTGCCCGATGATTTTTTACTCGTTGCTCGTGTGATTGCGGAGGAGCTTTTCTATTCGCTATCGAGATTTCGTTTTTCTTTTTTGTTTATCTTTATTCGTGCGTGACACGAACTTGTATTTTAAACTTTTCGCTCCGAAAGTTCATTCGAAAACTAAACGAATGCAGACAGGAAGTTTTGCGTTCACATTTGGAATTAACAACGTCGCCACTAATAATTCGTTGTCACAAGAGCACAGTTATTATAAAATTATATGGCTTAGATAATACAATTGTCGGCCGTTAAAAAGCGACTTTAACCTCACTTGAACCGAAACGCGAAGAAACGACGACAGGCTTGCATCCTCCCCCTCGAATTCTCCCTTGGAATAATTCATAAATCAAGCGCCGTTGAAGTACCGTTTCATACAAGATCGACGAAAACAAAAAACCTTATCGGTATTCCGGTATTCACGGCAGCGCTGCTTCTTAAAAATCCATTCTTGTATAAATAATTCGAAAAATACCGAGGCTATCCTCGCGCCAGATTAGCTACGCTACCACGCGCGTTCCGAGGGATCGGTCCTAAAAGGATCAGGAAGGATGGCGCCTCCGGGGGTAGGCTTTCTCTCTCGACTGCTTTATTGCGCGGCTATAGGTTTTACGACGCGCGCGCCGGGGGTAACAGGTGATTCGCTTCAGTGAAATGAACAGATTTGAAAATTTCAAGCCAGGTCGTCTTATTTTTTTCTTTTCCTCTCCCAGTATATTTTTTTAGGACGCGGATTTGCTTTGTGGGAGTGTACGCTTTTTTACTTTTATTGTCGCCGTGTAGCTTTTCCTACTAATGAACTGCGAATAAAGGGGGGGGGGGGGCGATGTTTTAACGAAAGAATAATTTCTAGTATGAATATTTTTCAATTCTAAATCATTATTCGCCGCGAATTTTTCAAGCATATAACGTTTAACATCGCTTTTTGATTTTTGCAGTAAATGAATTCTGACAAAGCTTACCTAATCAAAATACCGAAGTTAAAGCGTTTTTATCAAGTTACATTAAAAATAATGAATAATAGTGAAAGAAAGTCTAGAACTGAATGTTATTTTGCACTTATTTGCAAGAATTGTACACTTATAATAGATGTTTACAGTCTATAAAGTTGCATACCTTGAATATTTGATATTTGATTTCGTGGAAAACCCGCAAATAGAAAATAATATATACACTTGTTGCTTCCCATTCCCATCATCCAAGCATAATCGATTACAAACAACCACGACTTGACAGAGAATTCAAAGATTATGCGGCTATTATCTTAGGCAGTTCCGTATACATTGATCGCCAAACTACAACTTTTCATAGAAAGAAAAATTGCAGTTTGGCATTCAGCGTATATATTTACACGGAGTAAAGTAAAGCTGAGAGGGAAGAGAGAAAAAAAAGTTAACTCGCATTCGAATAGGAAATACGTTTACTCCATTGAATCGACTCTCTGGCGGAACTCGTTGAAAAGTTTTTCTTCGTCGGCGCAGGGCATTGAGCGTCACGTGATTAGGGTTGGAAAAGCGAAGGGAAATTTCAATGCTTGTTCGCTAATCGCTGTCGATTCAAACGCCAACGACAACTCGCTCTGATAGAGTATTGTCTGTGTTTCTGCCAGAGATTTGGATTTAACAGAATGCGCCAGTAACGGGATTCTCGAGAGCTTTCCAAGAGATTTTTTTCTTTTCTTTTTTCGAGATTGTATCTTGCGTTTTCTCGACTATTAAATGAAGTAAAAGTGACGCCGGGGCAGTTTCATATAAAAAGCTTTCGACTGTCTTACGGAGAAAATTGAAAAATGAAAAGTCTGCAAGGTGTGTTGTTCCTTTTTCTTTATTTTTTTTATTTTTTTTTTTTTTTTTTTTTTGTCTTCATGGTCGCCGACAAAATGGCGGATCGTAAAATCTGTTGTACGCCTCAGTTGATTTTCTAACCATTTTCATTTTCAAATATAATTGCAAAATTTTTTTCGGTCTTTCAAACGGGTCAACTGTACACACGTGTGATTATTAAATAAATTTAAAAATTAATAAAAATATAGCTATTGAATTTTTTCGGGCTATCCGTTTTTGGAACTTGGAGTCCGGTTGAACGAGCGGGATTTCTTTGCAAGTAATCAGTTTCATCGGGCGACGCTTGCTATTTGTTTTCATCAAAAATTTTTAATAAAATAACTAAGCTTGAGAATACGATATAATTATAAAACTTGTAATTTACAATTGGTCTGCGCTTGAGTACGTCGGCCTACTACACGATCAATCCGTATAGACACTTGTGACCTTCCACCATGAAGAGGAACAAAAAAAAAAAGAATCGTCCCCGCAATAGCAAGAAAGAAAGCTCATCTTCGCCGAAGTCAAATTCCCATGGTCCGCGGGTAGTACCACAGCTCCCACGCAACTAGGCCGACGCGACACACAATACCATCGCAGCCCCCGTGACAACACTGTCCTCCGTCTCCGTCCGTGTGTATTCTCATGCGCCCTATTTTGGCCGTGGAAACAGAAGGTTGGTCGGGACTCTGCGAAAGCGCCTCTTATATTTCCGAGACGACGATTGTTTCCTTTTAATCTTGTAGCCTCCGACATACTTGTGCGCGTGGCACATTTCTTCTGAAATGTTCACAGGCAGAACGCTATTTTAATAATACTATCCTTTCGATGATGTACATTATAACGTGACATAAATATAACCGAACTCTTCTATGAATTAAATATTATCGCGCTGCCTATGAAAAAAAAAAAAAAAACGATCAACTCAAAACGGAGGATTAGCGCGCGCGCGAACACGTTCACTTTGAGGCAATTACGGGCAAATCGAGCCCCGTTAATCCGGGCAGGCTGACGTTTATGCGTCCTCGTGGACAATTATCCGTAGTCGCGGCCGGGAGATCGCACAGCGCCTGCGAAACTCCATTAAACTTTGGAGAACGCGCGCCGCTATTTTGCCCTCGTCTCTCTCTCTCTCTCTCTCCCGCGAATGTCGCAGCTGCTGCCGCTCGTCTTTTTCCAACTAGCTCTGCCAGACCACGATTGCCTCGCGCGTCCGACGACACTTTTCGAAAGTCCCCTTCGTTCTCGCGGTTCGCAGCTGGATCTCACGAAGGACGATCAGAGCTCGCGCGACTTCGGGATCGGCGGGAAACGCGACGATTCGCGACGCGGAACGTCGCTAGTCGTCCGTTTCGGCTCGCATCGACCGTGAGAGGAAGGGCCTCCTTCTCGCGGGTTATTGGGGCGGCGGCGCGCGCGCGCATTCTGGGAAAACCGGTTTCGACAGCTCGCGTGCGCGTGGCTCGGCAGGCCACCCTTCGTCGCCGTCCCGTACGCATCCCGTATCGATCGAGCCAGCCGTTCTCCTCGGCAAGGGCACGCGCGCGCTGGGGGAGCATCGCGCCACCGTACACGCGCGCTTTCCTTTGTGCGCGCGGGGGCCGAAGTTCGGCTGGAAAAGCAAATACGGCATGTTGCGTGCGCAGTAGGTCGACTGCGCCCGCGATTGTTCCAACGCGCGCACCGCTTGTGGAGGTTTCCGTGGCCAGGCAGGTGGGCGTGGGAGTGTTCGTGCTGCGACGGCTACTCGCCCCGCACCAATTTTCCTCGATCTTTATTCCAACAGTGTTGTTCCTTGACTTGTCAAGAGCGCCACGTTAAGGTTATTGGGTTGTTCGGGGCTTCCAAACATTTTTCTAACTAGCGCAACGCCGCAGCGTCCGTCTGGCGCCTCTTATTATCTAGAACGGCGGTTCTCTTTAACGAAGAAAATCCTTCCTCGTGATTGCCGCGCGTGCCATTTTTCGCTGTAATATGTGACTGCTCGATGCCTTTAACGTTCAGGACAACGAGCGAGTCGTCGATCCGATCTGGCCGGGCGCGAGTAGCGCGCGAGAACGGACGGCGACGGCGAGGCAATGCACGTGCTCTCTCGATATTCGCGAGCGCGCAAAGCCGTCGATACGGCGATATACCGCGACGGCGTTCGCTGGCGTAGCGCAAGAGCGCACGCGCAGCGCGGCCCAAGTCGCAGGCGTGCTTGCCGGGCGTGCTCCTAACCTCCCGAGTAGAAGACGCCGGGCGGGCGTGCGCGCGTGCGTGCGTGCGGGCAGGCAGGCAGGCAGGCAGGCAGGCAGGCAGGCAGGCAGGCAGGCAGGCAGGCAGGCAGGCAGGCAGGCAGGCAGGCAGGCAGGCAGGCAGGCAGGCAGGCAGGCAGGCAGGCAGGCAGGCAGGCAGGCAGGCAGGCAGGCAGGCAGCAGGCAGGGGCTGAAAAGCGCGGCGCGGTGTTGGCGAGCGCGCGCGCGCGCACGCATCCTCCGCGCGTCGTCTGTGTGTCTCTCTCTCGCGCGCGCGCGCGCGGCCATGTTTGCGCGGGTGCGCTGGGCGTGGTCAGGCGCGCCGGTGGGGATCGCGCCTCGGCGCCGGCATTGGCCACTCGGCGGTAGAGTTTCTCTCGGCGCGGAGGGGGAGGAAGCGCGAGGGGAGTGAGAGCAGTGCCGTCTCGACGCGACCTGGAATGTGAGGTCGTGTGTGTGCGCGCGCAGGTGTGCGCGCGTGTGCGCGCGCTCCAAGTTTTTTTTTTCCCTCCGCTACTTCTTTCGGAAAATCGCGTAGTTCTTTCGTTCGCGCGTTCCCTCTCTCTCTCTCTCTCTCTCTCCTGCTCGTTTCATTGGAATTTACCTCGTCGTTACATCGACGCGAGAAGAGATTTCGCGCTGGTTCGCGCGGCTGTAAAGTTTTTTACGAGGTAGGACGCCGTGGCGCGGCTGCGCGCGCTCGCGTGGTCGTTCATAATTTGATCGGCACGAGCGCGCGCGCGGCGGCGGTAAGCTTTTTCCTCCATTTCTTCTGTCGTTAATCGTGTCACGTTGTTTGCTCGACAGGTCGCTGGTGGGCAAGTTGCTGATTAACATCTTCCAGAACGCGGTCAAGTCGCAGCAGAGGATCAACGTCGACGAGGTGTTCGAGCCGATCGACCAGATCAAGTACGACACTGGTGAGTGGCCGTAACCCAGACGAACTTGCCTTGCGAGCACGCACGGAGGCGACGGTCTTATCGGCCGCTCGCGCACAGAGTGTGCGGCGCACAGTAGCGCAGTCACGCACGATAAGCCGTCTTCGAAAAAAAAAAGAAAAAAAAAAAAATAATAGACGATCGCGGCCGAGAGAGCGTGAGACGTTGCAGCGGACCGGCAGTCTGGGGAATCGCGCGCGCATCGATTCTAATGCGCGTCTCGCATCTCCTCGCTCTCTGCGTTATCGACGCCCATCGGTCCGAGATTTTTCGACTAGCGCGCACGAGGTTACTTTCCATGACGCGTTCCGTCAATCTGCGATTGCCCGTCTGACGAATTTATCTGCCTGCTTGGATTGCCGTTTGAAGAATACCCCCACCCGCCCGCCCGCGCACTTCTTTTTCCGCTCCTCGCGCGAGCTAATTATTGGCCTGCCTTTTTCAATCGCCTTATCAACCCACAGCGCTGGCCGGGAGTATTTATACATGCTTTCCCAATTTGATAACGCGCCAATACTATTTCAGCAGAAGGAGAGAGAGCGAGAGGGAAACTTGGTAAGATTATCGCTGATCAGCTATGGATCACGTGCGCGGCTTCTCCTCTTCTTTTATTAGAACGCGGATTGGACTTGGCTCTTCCGTCTTTTTTTAATGTCTTTGTGCGCTACCCGACAAAATGGCGCTTGCCTGCTCTTTTTTTTCTTTCTTTTTCTCTTTTCTTTTCCCGCGAGGCCTCGCGCTCGTCAATCACAGCTTGTGGGTGTTTGCAAATTTCGGGCAATAACTCGCTGCTTATACGAGCAACAGGGCCACATTCTGACGTAAATAATTCACCCATGGCGTCGATTTTCAAGCAACGTGACGGGGAACAAGGGAGCCGAAAGCTCATTGACCCCTACTTTCCTCCTCGTAAAAATAGCAGCGGCGTAGCGCATAGTAGGCTTCATTTTTTCCGACCGAGAGAGAGAAAGATGCGGGCGAAAGAAGGGGCTAGTAGTGCACTTCCGGCGCACCACGTGCACAGGAAGTACCCGGCGCGCGCGGCAACGGCAACGCTCGTTAGTCTACGAGGCTGCTGTTTTGCTGCAGCGTCCCGCTCCGTTTTTTCTTCTTCTTTTCCGAGCCAAGGATGATACTTTCGAAGCTTCGATTTTCGTGCTGGTTGGCTCTCTCAACCATGACTTTTTTTCTCAAGTTGGACAAAAATCCTTTTTTTTTTCCTATTTTCTCTTTTTTCTTTTACGAGGAATACTCGTTTGACTTTGACGAAAATAGTCTGAACGTCGACGGGCGTAATTCGAATGCATTTTTCTATTACGCGCCAACATGAGAATTGTGAAAGTCGAGTTCCCCAGAATGATGCTACTTCGTTTGCCGCCATTTCGCCTTTCCTCGGAGTCGTGTCTCTCTTTCACATTGCTAATCGGGAATAAAAATCCCGACCGATCGAGCCATTCCGAAAATAGAAAAAAAAAACAGAACTAAATAAAAAATTTGGAAAAAGACAAGGAGTATGATTAAGCATCAAACCACCAGGATACAAAAGCACAGGGGTACAGGGCCAAGTCCGCGAGTGAGCGCGCAGGGTATCTGGCGGCTCGAGTCGGCGCAGCAAGCGCGATAATGAGGCGGGTGCAATGTCGAGCACACGGGTGAAAGGGTTGTTGCACCTTGTGTGCACGTCGCGCGCGTAAGAGAGAGAGAGAGAGAGAGAGAGAGAGCGAGCACGAGTGACGGAGGGAGAAGGTGGGGAGAGGAGGGAGGAAGTCGAAAAGGGGCGGTCCGAAGAAAAATGGCTGCGCGCAAAACTACACGCTGGCCCCGCGACTCGGGGGAAGTTTTCGTGCCGAGGTGCGATTAAACCGGCGCCGCACGTGCTGATTCACCTAATGTGCGTTCGTTTCTTCGCTCCTCGCGCCCGTCGCCTCCTTCTTTTTCGAAAACGCCACGGCCGGCGCGCTTCGACTTCGCCCGCCCGCCAGCCAGCCGCCACGAACTTCGCGAGAGGGTCTTCGAACTCTCGCATCGATTTTTCGAGCTGCATCGTTCCGGGGAAGAAGGGGGAGGGGCGGGGGGCTGCACGATTACCAAGCGATTCGTTCGGCCGCGGGTGTGCGCCGTCGGCGCGACGTCTCGGTAAGTCCATTGCCAGCGCGTCGATCCTACGGACGAACAACGATGTCACGCTTATCCGCGCGCGCGCGAGTGTATATATAGCGTGCGTCGTGCCCACGCGCTCCGCGACATTGACTTGCCTCGCCTGCAATGTATATTTAAACGCGCCTCCTTACACTCCGCCCGAATACCTCAAACGAGAGAAAGAGAGAGAGAGAGAGAGAGAGAGAGAGAGAGAGAGAGAGAGAGAGAGAGAGAGAGAGAGAGAGAGAGAGAGAGAGAGAGAGAGAGAGAGAGAGAGAGAGAGAGAGAGAGAGAGACCCCCAACGGCTCGTCACGTCGCGTGCCGCCGCGCGTCTTCTTCCGCGCGCCCGTTGGCTTTTCTTTTTTCAGAGAGCGAGGAGGATGCTAATTTTAACATTTTTCGACCAGCTCGGGAGTGCCTTTTATGGAAGTACACGGGCAACGCAGTTGTTATTTTCCTCTCTATTCGATTATCGAGAAACGATTGGTGTGCGTGAAGCGTCAGATATTTCAGAAGCCATTTTGACGGCTGGAGATGCTACTCGTACGAGTGCTCGAACCTCGCCGGTGTTCGCGGGGGAAGCCCGATGCGAACCCGCCAAATTCGGCGTGTCACCGCGCGACATCGATCCGACATGGCGAACCGGGGGAAAAGAAAGACCAACTCCCGAAAATAACGGAGCGAGGCGAGCTTCCATCGTCGCCGAGAGCGAAGAATGGCGGACGCCTCTGAAAAGTATCGTACGCGTATTTTTAGAGGTCGCGACCGCGTGGGCTGAGAGAAAAGCTCGCGAGCTGCTCATCCTTTCGCGTGGCCTGTCGCCGACAAGGGGACTGGCCGAGGAAGATGATTGCCCGCGACGCAGCGCTGCTCGCGCTCGTTGGACGTTGGCGCTGCCTCGTAGGTGTCAGCGGAGTAGTCGCGCGCGAGTTATTGCTGGACTCGATCGTTCGCGCTCACCCGCCTCGGAGCCGTCCGTGAGAGCGGTCGCCTAAATGGTGCCCGCGCAAATGAAAAGAAAAAACGAGTGAATCGGCTGCTGCCCCGCCGGCGACGCGCGCGAATCTTCGACTTCTCGCGTCTGGCAATCGGACGTTCGGCTCGCTCGACAAAAAGGAAAAGGGGGAAGGAGGAAAAAGGAACGCCGAGCGGCGAAGGCGAGCTAGCGCTCTATTTCCATACGCCGCGCTGGAGTTGTATTATCGGGGGGAAGGGGGGGGGGCGCGGCGACCGGCTGCATACAGTGTATATTTTTGGAGTCAGCCAGGGGTGACTTCCGTTCGACGTTGCTCATGCCTTGCTTGGTCGATCGCTTCTTTTCGACTCCCGTGAGCGAAGCTCACGCCGATGTGTCCGTGGCCTTGCAGTCTGCGGCGGCTGGCGCTCTCGATCCGCGACGCTCGGGATCGGGCGGCCTCCTTGCCCGCTGTGTCCCGGCGGCGCGCTCGTTTTCGAGGGAAAAGCGCGGGGCGCACGTTGTTGCGCCTTTCCGAGCGGCCGGGAAAGGGAGGGAGCGAGGAAGAGCAGCTGGCTACGTGCACCTTTCCCTTCTCCTTCGGGCTGTCTCGCCTCTTCGGAGCCGCGACTCTCGACGTGCGTTAGTTGCCGAGATGCTCGCGTGTATTTAGATTCGCTACCGTCGACTCGCTCTCGAATCCTTTGAGGGCATTTTCAGTAGCACGTGACGCTTCTCGGTCGATCGGCCACCAAGCCCGAAGATACCTCGTTACAATGAAAAACTGTCTACTTCCGGCCTCCCCCTCTGAAATCCCCAGAAGAAACAAAAGCACTGACGATTCCCCTGGCCAATGATTTGATGTTTCCCCGGCGAAACTAGAAGAGAAAAGTCGGACCCTCTGTCGCTACGAAAATAAAACGGTAGTTACATCAGGGCAGAGCAGTTGGAAAAGCGCGGTCCTAACCGTCGGAAAGGCGCAGCGGAGCGGTGACGCAGCAGTGGTGGGGGTAGGGGGGTCTGTTTCCTCGGAAAAAATTGGGGAGTGGGAGGCCGGCGAGGCTTCCCGCGCGAAGGAAAAGCCGACGGAGCGCCAGTCTCACCTAGGCGTTCTCGCTGCCCGCACGCCGAGCCGCGTACTCAACTGGGGCGCATGGTCGTGTTGCAGAGAGCAGCGTGAGGTCGTCGCTGGTCGAGTGTCTGCCGCACGTGGCGCTGCTCTGCCAGGAGCAGTCGAACCTCATACCCAGCGAGAATGTCGTCGATCGGATACTCCACCTCGTGCTCACCTTCATCTCCGACATTGACAACCAGGTAAGGCAGCCTTTTCGAGCTTGTTCACTCGGTTTTCCGCGCTACGAACAATCGGATATTACGACAACGGATCCTCACGAGTTATACATGCTTTTGGGCAACTCTTGACGGATTTCAATCTTAGCGCGAGTTTGATTTTCGGTTGCCCGCCGAAATAACGAACACAGCGAGAAACAAGCAGAGATCGTTATGGTCGCGCGGGCACGTTCTCTATCCGCGTTAGCGAAGCCAAGCGGCGGAATATGATTAAAAAAGGGCATTGATTGTTGCGGCGTGCAGGTGCGCAAGGATGCGCAGACGGCGCTCAACATGCTGCTCGAGCAGCACCTGCTCAACGATCGGCAAATCCAGCAGGACGTCTGCAGTTTCGTGGTGGATTTGTCGCGCGACATCAGACCCGAGTTACAGGCACTCGCCCTCACTGTAAGTTTGACCTTTGATTGGCTACGCTCGATCGCTCATCGCATTGCATCTTGGGTGTATTTCGCAGTAAGGACGCTCTTGAGACCGAGACGCAGCGTGAAAGACATGGGTAGTGAGATGTTACGCGGTTCTCGCGTCTCACTACCTTGTCTTTCATGCGGCCCTCGTTGGTGCAACTCGCCAACGTAGCCTAGTCCGATGTTAATGATAATGTCTCGAGGACTGCCTGGAGCTTCCCACGGTGCCAAGGAGGGGGCATGCTTTTACCATCAAAGCTGGTTTGTCATAGAGTTTCGACTATCACAGCCAGCTTTGATGAGCAAAATTGTGCTTTAACCGTCGCCGACGAGCGAGAGAAAGTGAGAAGAGCAGGAAACACACCCACACCCCATATACACGCACAAGCACCACTCGTCTATTTTGCGGTTCGATACATCAAAGTGGTTGTGGAATGTTAACCTGCTAGCCCCATATCACAGCCATTTTGATGAGCTTGGCCCGTAAATTAACTTCAAGTGTGCTCGGGCCGTTTGCGTGCTCTGCTGCCCGGTTGAAGGCTCGATCCGATCGTAAAAATGGTTGTGACATGTTGCCGTTCGATTCTCATATCACAGCCATTTAAAACGACTCGGGTCGCTGCTGATGAACAGCGTGGGACTTCGCCTCGGCTGGACAACTGTTGGGATCGCGTCGCTTGCAAAGTGGCTGTGCCGTATGCCGCTTTCTATGGATCATATCACAGCCAGCTTTGTAAGCGATGACGCGCCTGCTCCGTCGCTCGACACGCATGGACTTGGACGATCGGTTTTTGCGCAACGACCACTCGTCGGAAGATTTTCCGAGTGTGCCGTGCCGCGTGAGCGCGCGACATTTTCGAAAAAGTGACTATCGCTTGGCGTGTTTACGTTGTCGTGACATTCGTTGAGCTTTCAACGCCCAACCGATAGTCGCCGCCAATAACAATGCGTTACAATGTTTTTGTTTTCCTCTTCTATAGTCTTGTATAGTCTCAAACTATACTCGCGGCTGTCGCGCCCGTCAGAGTGACTGTGATGTGGTGACGATAGACTCATATCACAGCCAGCTTTGATATGCGCACCAGTCTGCCGACTCACGGCCATGAAGAATTTCAGTCATTTGTCAGATCCGTAACGCGCAAATAATGTAAATTCAATTGAAAATTACGTCTTCCAGTTGATCGCTATTACTACTTTTATCTTCATGTTTTTTCTTCTCTCGTTTGATTCGCAGCTCATGACGCAAGTAAGTCTGTACATAGGAGACAAACTTACCGAGAGATTCTTTCTCGATCGATTCCTCGAGCTATGTAAAAGCGAGGGTTTCTATGTCAGGAGGGTCTGCGCTTCCATCATGGGCGAGTTTTGTACGATCATGTCGAAAGAGACCGTTCAGAGCAAATTGGTAAGTGTGTTCTTCTGAGCATGCTTCTTTGTTCCTCGATTATCGCATGGAAACGTAAATGTCTTTTTGTTCGCGTGCTCCCGTCATAAATATCTAAAAGAAAAAAAAAAAAAAAAGAAGGCACACGCGAACACGTTAACAAGAAAAGCATCGAAATCGAGAGTTCGTATTTTTTCAGCTGTCGACGTACGCGGATCTATGCTTAGACAGCATCTGGGGTGTGCGCAAAACTTCAGTGGACGTGATGATATCCGTAGCGCGTTGCGTTCCAGTGTCAATCCGTCGACGACTGTTGTCGAAACTGTTGGTGCGACATTTGCGCGACGAGTCGCGCTGGGTGCGCCGATCTGCTTACGAAATCCTCGGGCCTTTCATCTCCACTTTCGCCAAGCAGTTTTATGAGATCATCTGCGACCAAAAGGGCGAACTCATACTCATTCACGAGTACAAAGGCGGCGTGCCGAGGTTCAATGTGTTAGTAATCATATTGCAACAAGACTTACACTTATTTATCTAAATGTTTGAGAAATTCACATATTTGTTATTTGCTTACAGAGTTCCCGTTGCCAAAGTTAGCGATATACTTATAGAGAATCTGGCCGATGTCAATTCATTTTACTGCAAGCAAACCAAACCACAAGACAAAGTTTCATATAAATTGAACGGGAAGAAATTGGCACTTGGAAAATTATTGAGGAGGCAAATGGTAATTAACTCGTTTCCTTATGATATCTTTATTTTTAATTTATGGTTGCATCGTTTACTTCAGATGAATGATGATTATAATGACAACAATCAAAACCTTAGCGATCAATCGAAACTCATAACCGATTGTAAAAATGCCAACACCGATGAATGTGAAAATTTCAATCTTTTTCAATATTACTACAATCCACCCGACATGCCTTTGGATCCAGAATTAGTTAAATCAATTATTAACGACAATGATCTACCGCTAGATGATAACGAAAAATCAAATGAAGTCTCAAGTAAGAAATCTTTTTTCAAATTAAATTGATCAATTTACAAACATTCGTATCAGATTACTTATTTTCACGTTTTGCTTAGTTAATGAAAATGCCAACATTGAAAAAATTAAAGAGTATGAAGATAGTAATAAAAATATTGAGAATAAAGAGTCGGAAACAGAAAGTAGCAATGAAAATAATAAAATTTATGATAACAGGCAAGAAATCAACAATGATGATAATGACAATACTATAGAGTCACAAATTAGCGAAGAACTGCCTCAGAAATTATGTAACGAGAGCAGGTAGAGTTTGACAATCCATTAAAACTTTTCAAAGCTCATCATTATTGAAGAATTAAATTATTATCTGTTTTTTTTTGTCCCTCTTCAGTTCGATAGATTGTGGAAAAAAACGTACTAGAACAAGAAAACTTAGAGATTATGATCCTATCTATGTAGGTAGGCAAAGGTATTTTGAAACCCACACATTTTACAGTGCCGGACTTAAAACAGAGGACGAGACAGAATTGTATGAAGAAAAAGAAGAAGAGGTAAAAGTGTCCTTTATTTCAATTCGAAAATAAAATATCTTAAAATGTTTGACTCCTTTTAACAGTTGTTATTTTTATTGACAGGATTCTTTGGACAACGAGCAATCGAAGACTACGATATCAATATATTCCAAGATATCCGAAAGATTAAAACTGTATTCGCATAAGTCATCGGAGAATCTCGACAAATCCTTCGAACAGAGTAACTCGACCATCGTCCTAAATGATTTTGAAGACGATGAAGAAGAAGGCGAGATTGTACCGCGCATTTTGGTAGATTACTTCGTATCGATGTCTGAACTGAAGCCGGATGTAGACGGTGATCTCGGAACGGACATGGACTACCACTGTGCCTACAGTTTCCCCGCCATAGTCCTCACTTTAGGCAAAGAGAACTGGCACCGTCTGAAAGATGCCTACTGGAGATTAGCTTCGGCCGTGCCGTGGAAGGTGCGAAGTACTTTGGCTTCGAGTATCCACGAGATCGCAATTATCATCGAAAAAGATTACGCTGCCAGAGATCTCGTGCCGATATACAATGGATTTATCAAAGATCTCGATGAAGTTAGGATAGGAGCGTTAAAACACTTCTCTAAGTTCTTAAAAGTTTTGAGCCCTCAAGATCGCACGCAGTACCTGCCAAAACTTAACGACTTCTTGATCACCGACAGCAAGTGGAACTGGAGGCTGAAAGAAGAGTTGGTGCATCAGCTGTCAAAAATAATACATTACAATCTTTACAAACACACCGACGTTGCAGAATACATCTCGCCTTTATTGTTACAACTCATTCAAGACAGAGTTGCCGCCGTAAGAATTGAAGCTATCAATGTGGTTAGTAGTCATTTCGATCATTGATTGTTGTAATTTTCTTCTTATGATCGAACAATGTATTATAATAGCTTTACGTTTCTTTGCAGATCTCCCAGACGTTAGCATATCTTGATACGTACAGTGACGACTCACTGTCGTTAGCGATGATTCGTGAAATAAGGGACCTACTGATGGCTCATGCCGCGGAAAGATGGTCAATTAGACAAACTTACCCTCTCATTTGCTCGACGGTCATGGTCAAAGGGAGTGTCGAGGATAAAGTGTTCGCTGAAGAATTACTGCCGTATTTACTGGAGCTTACTAACGACAAGGTGCCAACTGTTAGGCTCGTCGTTGCCAGGACACTTGTTCGAGATTATTATCGTGAGTATTTTTAATAATTAAAATGGAATTTTTCAGAATAGACATATTAAGCATTGACGTTCATCTATTTATTCTGTAGCGTATTGTTATGATCCAGAGCTTAGAAGTCAAATATATCAAACGTTGAAAATGATGCAGTCGGACAGTGACCGGGATGTGCGAGAATTCGCAAACGAATTGAAAGACTGATAACTCTACTGCAATATTTACCGATAGAATCATGATCACTGGAGAAGAGTCGACGTAGAGTATTCAATGTCACAACGTGATTGTTTCCTTTCTTTTAAACTGCGCTATGTTTCTTCACTTAATTTTTACAGAAGCCAAGTAGAATCAAGCGCCAGATAAAATCAATTCATTTTTATTATGAGGGAATTTATTCATACGGAATGTTCAAACACTCGTTTGGTTTAGAGCAACTTGTCGAATTCGCCTTGAATATTATACTGTGACCTTGTGATAAAATAATTATGAAATTTGACTTGTGGATGCTTTTACAACCAATGAGCATAGTATGAAAGGTACATCAAGTTTAAGAAAAGATAAAAGTAAATAAATGAAAAGTAAAAGTTTTAATAAAGCGCGTGATGAAAGATACAGTTAAAGTTTACTGGATGATATATCTGTATGAGTGAATGCTTGTATTGCGATTGAGCAGTTGTGATTTTTCTTCAATAAACTGTAATGACAGATCGAGTGATGTTAAAGAATTTTTTTTATTGAAAACTGTACATTTTCTACGTGAAATGTGTTGAGCGATTTGTTAATATTCGCGAACATAGATTTGTAGCCAAACATATTTTTAATTTTGCACTCATTAAATAATACTATAATGGAAAATAAAAAGAAGTTTCTTAGTGATCTTAAATCCATTTAAAGTCGTACTTGAAAATAAGACTGCATTTTTAGAGCATTTTTTTGTAGCCTATTTTTTAATCATTGTCAATATATGCCGTAATATTTTGATATGAATTGCAGCTGTCTATCTGAATAAAATTTAAACATTTGAAGTATATTCAAAGTCTTTTACTATAAACTGCTGTCAATAAGTATTATTATAACTCGTCAATGTATTTCAATTTAACATTAAAATATAATTATCGACTACATTCTTTAAATCACAATTGCAAATTGTTTGCTAGCTAGATTAAGTGCCCATAAGCTAATAGTTAATGAACTTTTAAAATTTTTTGTAAACAAACTTAAAATTATTGCCAAATATCTAATTAGTACTGGTGCTTAATAAGTTTGAATTCACCACTAAATATTTTGATATGTTGAAAGATCTTCTCCAAAAATTTGCATAGTAAATTACAATTTTTATAAACTGTGAGCTTGAACATGTGAATTTACTGAAAGGGACAATATGAGTGACACAGTTGAATTGTAAATGACGCGCTTGCTAAAATAAGAAAAAATAAATAAAAGTCGATGCAATTTGTTAGATGCAGTCTAGTTTATTACTTATTCCTTCCTTTTATTTCCTGTGATAAATATTAATTTTATCATAATGATACAACAACTATTAAAAATATCATCGATATGAAAAATAATGTTATCTTATTAATATTTGTATTGTTTCATGTTATGATAAGATGAGCACTAGTTTAATCCAAATTGAACTTATCAATTTTAATCAAAATAATTGAAACACGTATTAGGAAGTAATTGTTACAAACTTCACATATTATCAATAGGGAAAACGTACACACGGTAATAATAATTGTAGTATAATTTCCTTTCTCGCCGGCAAGTCTGATATTTATAATATTTAAAACATTTTTTTAGGAAATATTTTATTTGTAGAAAGGAGAGTATTAATTATTTCATAATAATTAAAATATATATAATTTAAACCTGGACTTAATTAACAGATCTGTGAACTCAGCAAATTGACTTGCAATTATCATTTTTTGTAGCTTTTTCATAATTAGAAAAATGCTATTCAAATATTGGATTGCATTTACACTTATTTTACTCTCTTTATCATTAGTTTACGGGATAGGTACTTATTATTTAATCCAGCTTGTGCTTAATAAATTGTACGAAAATGTGATCACAACTTGATAATCTTTTAGATTTGTCGAAAGATTGCGGTCCCATTTCAGAATGGTTACGTTGCGTGGAAAAATGTCAAAGTAATCAGACTAAATCACTCATTCGAAAACTGATCCTGTTTGAAAAGTAACCCGAACAATTTTTTCCCAAATGAATCAGACGAAGAATCGATTGGACGTCCGGTTATCGGTCACAAATTGGATTGTAGGAGCGAGTGCACAGAAATAACCAAGCCCATTTTCAAGAAAGCAGCGCAGATGGAAGCCGCGAAGCACGCCAACCCGAAATCTGACGAGAAGAAATGCTTGAGGAGTTGCTGGTGTGAGTCAACAGTCCAATTGATAAGATCACGCGATGTAAAATTGTTGCAAATTGATTATCCCGAAAACGAAATAAATTGATTCCATGCGGTCAGGCAATAATGCGGACACGCGACGTGGACTGAAGGGAATTTCTTGCCATCGAATTTGCAAACGTAATCCTCGGCAACGATATCTCGTACAACATTGAGTGAACGCGCCAGCATGTCAGCAAACAGGTTTATATCGGTTTGCAGCTCGTCGGATCGCGAATGAAGGATTTCCTTGAAACTTTTTGTCTATAAAGTTATCGATGACAGACCCTAAATAAATTGCATAATGATCTTTGGAGTTGTTTCACGTGCACGTGCTTAACTCAACTTGTTGCTTTGACATTACAATGAATGAAAAGGCAATAAGACGATACCGTGCGCTTCAACAATCTAAGAGTAGTGATGTTTATCCCCATCTAAAACATACGGTATTAGCTTATTGTACTTTCGTTCACTTAGTTCAGGACTTTGTTCAATTTGCAATACAGTTCAGACGAGGAACTAGACTGGTATGAAATTGTTCTTTTATTAACCGTGATCGCTAGCTTTATTGGCTCATAATTTTGGAATGTAAACCGTGTTTTCGTAGAAACTGAACGAGTCGAACAATTCCTTGTAACTTCGAGTCCGCCTGGCTAGTGTCTATGAGAAGCTCGCAATCGCAATGTTTGTGGAGCCACGCCGTATTACTTTCCACGATTGCCGCAAATTAATGCAGAAGTCAGCCTCAGTTTTGTGAGCCTAATTTATTGTAAAAAAAAGGTCGCTCGGCATAATGATGATTTATATTGACATTAGTTTTAAAATTATACGTTACGTTGTTACATTTTCCACATTAAAAATATTAATATAAAGAGAAAAGTTCGAATAATAAAACTGGTTCAGTCGAGCTTAAGCTTTCATCCATATCTTTTATCGAGCATATTTTCCTTCTTTCGATTTTCACTACCTTTGAAAAGTGAGTGCCGAAATAGTATTTTTCCTGAGTTTCCTCAACTACACTCACAGTTATTATTATCGCGCACGATCAGCCAGACGAGACACTATTAAAATATATACCGAGAGATAAATTGTTCATTGACATTGTCAGCTGTGAAAGCGGATTTCAAGCGATAAAGTTGGAAGATGAACTTCTGTGCCACATGCTCGATTTTCGATGGATTTCTTTTTATTACGACTCAAGTTGGACCAAGGTTGGCCAGGGCTAAATACTACGAGACTACTTCCGCAATAATCAAAGCGTTCGATAATTGACCGAAGCGTAGCCATGCAAACATCCCTAAAAATACATTTGCTACAAAAGGTTCATCCTAAAAATAAATGTTACAAATAAACAGCGTATCAGAAGGTGCCAGGGCAGTAACGAGTGGGTACTCGACGTTACGACACGTTGCAGATTCCTTGCCGAAGCGCAGCGCCGACTACGAGTCTGTCGCGGCCGGCGCGGTCGGCTGCCAATCGATGCTTCCGTTCAGAATGCGCGAGCCTCGCGGCCGGTCCGTTCGCGAGATCCACCGCTCCTCATCTCGGCGACGAGGCTGCGCAGGTCGTCGACCTAGTCGCAAACGACGACGCGGAGAGTCAGTCGCGCGCTAAGCCACGGACGCCAATGGATTCACCTTGACGATCAAGCTCGCCAGCAGATCCTTCGTCTCGCCCGCTGCCGTTCCGGCGCTACCCGTCGCCGCAGCTCTGCTCCGCTCCGCTCCCGCGCGCAACTCTTGCGAGCGCGCGCTCTTCGGCACCGCCTTGATGACAATGGCATTGACGCTCTTGTCGCTTCTCGCTGCCGTCGTCTTGCCGCAACGCTCGGCTGGCTTGTCCCGGCTCGGCCGCTGGCCGTCGTTGCCCACGAGGCTCGCAGCGCTGCTTTTCGATTTCTTATCGCTGGGCTTCGGTTTCGGTCTCGGCACTGGCGTTGCCTTTCTCCCCGCAGTTGGCTTCGGCATGCGCGGCTTCGCGGTCGATTTACTACTACCGGGCTTTTTCGGGCTTGGAGCTTTACCTTTCGGCTTTGCTTTGCCGGCTTTCGTCTCGCCATCGCCGAGCCTTTCATTCGCGGAAATCGCTGCAGGTCTGCCGTTCACGTATGCTGCATCGCCGCGAAAATGTTCACGGTCTTCTCGACCGGACTGGAACTGCTCGGCTGACTGTTTCGCCGCACTTCTGCAACATACATTGGCTTTTTCGTATAATGTCGGAAGAGCAAGCGCTACTCGACCGACTGCGAGCTACAGTAGTCCGTTTGCGAGTGCTCGCAAGAGAAACGATAAATCAGCCGTGGCTAGCGGGAAATCGGACGAACGTACAGCGGCGCGCTGTCTCTGGGATCCACTCGATTGGACGCCTGTTCCTCGTCTTCGTAGTAGTACTCCTCGCCTTCCTCGTAGTCGCAGCCGTTGTCCCTTTTCAGTCTCGCTGCGTCGCGTGAATCAGCGCCAGTCCCGAGGAATCGCGGCGGACTTGTTTGGCCCAAGCGCGTGCCAACGGGCGAGCCGTCGAGCGAACACCGGCGATCGCGCCTCGCGGGACCTTCGATCCTCGCCCCCAGCTCCGGATAAACGTCCTCCAAGCTGTTGCGCTTGAGCGTCATCTGGTCGTCGAGGAAGGTGCCGGGGACGTCGACGTCGTCGTCGAGGCTGCCCCCGTACTCGGCCTCGCTCTCGTCCGCCGGATTCATCTCTTCGGACGAGAATGTCTCGTAAGTCCGGCGCGGCACGCGGTGCTGCGGGCGCGTGAGTAAAACAGCATCGCCGTGGTTTCGCCGACGACGGTCGAACTCCTCGTCTGCCGAGCGTAGCTTACAACGTACGAAGGCGGATTGCCGACGGAGCGGCGGACGCTCGCGTCGCGCCTCTTCGCGCGCCTCTTCACGCGCACGTGGGGCTCCAGAGATTCCGGATCGACGGCGTAGTCGGGCTCCTCGAGCGGCTCCGGGCCAGACGGCTTCTCGAGGGACGACCTCTCGCGCAACTTTGCGCCCGGAGCACAATCGCTCGTAGCTGGAACGATCGCGAACGCGCGTTGCGGAAATCGAAATTGGAAGCAGGGCAAAGTGATACCACGAGCGTCCGCCTCTGTGGTGCTAGCCGGAAGGTGCCTCCAGTTGCCAAACAAGTCGAAATCCTCTTGTTTGGCGTTATCGGCAAACAATGCTCCGATGGTACGTCGATTCCTCCCCACGAGATCAGCGGCTTCGATGGCGATCGTCATCAACCAGGCGATTGCGAGCAGCCGCAGCTGCATAATACAGAGTCCACGGGAAGCCACGGCATTGGAACAATCGACTGCGCTTGGCTTTTGAGGTTGCGATTGGCGACCTGACGTTGTCGCTCAATTAAATGCCGTATGCTTCAGCAATGTCATTTGCAATGCGCGTACAATTTTTTGCTCGATAATTGGATTTGCTTTCTTCGAGTACATTTCATAAGCGATTAGACTTTTTTCTTTGTTACTTTCAAATAGAAATGTAGCATGGTTATTCAAAACATTGCTATAGTGGCGGAAAACGACAATCGAATTCACTGTTCAATAAAATGAAAATGAAATTGCGCTGCAATCTCGTAATTTGTAGAAACTATTTAATATAACTTTTTCTATACTTGTTATATTTTATTAAGTTAGAACTTATAATTTTACATTACTGATTTTACACGACTCTAAAGAACAGAAAATAATGATTACTTTATAAATATTAATGTAACTTACAATTATAAAAGTAAAGGTATTATAAAACACTACAGGAGTAAAATGAATATAGGAAAGCAAGGAGTTCCATAATGAAAGTAGACATGTATTAAAATATTAGAACTCTTTACATCCAATCATGGATATAATTTACAGTTTTGCAGTATAATTTCATATACATTCAATAATTAGATTTTCGACTTGGCATTCTTTTATACACTACTACATTACTTTACAAATGATGGGATGGGTTTTTTAATTATATACTTATGCTAAAAATTTGACAATTTAAATCGTAACTCGAGGATATAATCTTTTTTGGTTTTCTCTTGTGGTTTATAGAAATATCACAAAATATTCGATTGATAATTGTTCGATGAAAAAATATTATTGATTTTGTTTAAACTAATGAATTCTGTTTCTATAGAGAGCTGAATTATTAGTCTAAGTTAAAAAAAAATATATCGTATGATGAGTCTAAAAAAACGATTTATTTCGTATCTCGTGCTTCTTCGTGAAAAATTAATGTATTAACAGTAAATGATATAAATATATGCTTAAAATAACAAAGCAAAAATTCAGTTACTATCACATAATGAGAATTACTATAACAGCTCCAAATGATGATTACAGAATTAACATTAAGAATTTTGTTACAAGCATAAGAGCTACAAAAAATGATTATAATTATAAACACTTGATGCTTATACAATTAAAATTAAAGCTAATACTATGACAACCATTGTTTTTGTTCAAAATTCAAAAATGCACGAAATAATTGATTCAAAGAAAACCCGATTAATTAATAATGTATAAAAAACATTAAGTGCTCCATCTAATCTCAAACTTCCCCTTCCAAATTTGGCTCGGATCAGCTTGACTATAAATAACTGAAAGAACAATAATCGAATAAAAAGAAAAAGCCATCTAAAATCCTCGAAACTGTAAAAAATGTTGAATCTAAACTAAAAGTTGAAGATTTTTCTTGCACTAGTTGGAATGTTTCTTACATTTTATCATAGAAATGTTATTTGATATATCTTTCTGAAGCTGGTTTTCTTCTATTCAGTCACATTTAGAATTCAGTATATACGATGTTATTCTGTATTTTGATATTATTTTATAGGTTTTTTTGGAAGTTAACCCGATTATGAATTTGGTAGAAACTATTTTTGAATGTTTCAAGAGTTTCTAAACTCTTTCGTTATTTCGTGTCTATCTGTAGTTTTCATCTCTATGTAAAAAAAATTGTTTAACTGTATCCGACCCGTAATTCAAAACGCACCAGTATTATAGATTAATCAACAATCTATTAATTAATCAGTGATTATCTTGTAAGGTTTGTCGAGGAGTTTGTGCCTCAAAAACATTTGGACTCTTGTCGTAAATGCTGTCTCATTTGATGAGCGTCAAGTATTGTCCACTGATCTTTCTTTAATTGATGCTCTACACATGGGACACTCTAACAATTGTTTAGAACATGTTTGGCAAAATCCTCTGAAACGTTTAAGAACAGCATAAGAACAAATTCACGAAAACAATATTTAAATTTTATGAGAATATAACAATAAAAGTACCTGTGTTCACAGGGTAGTAACTTAACTGTCGCTTTTTTGTCAAAGCACAACGTACATGAATCTTCTCTCACACTGAGTTTCCTAAGCTGATCGAGGTATATGTGCTTGGGTAACACAATTTTATCCTCTGGGTCTAAAGTCGCATGGTCATTGAATGTTTGATAACTTCGATCCGTTGGTGGATATTTAAAAGGAACATTGCCAAAATTAAACAGACATTGCTGGAACGACATAAAACTCGCTGCAGCGAAAAATCCTGATCTGTAGTGATTAATATTACAGTAAATTAGAAAATAATTATTTGTAATAACTCTTTTTGATAATAACGTTACCTTGCGTTTTTAAATAACTGAACACATGGTTTTAAAGCAACTCCATTCACAGAAAAAATGACTTCTAGCTTATTTAAATCTAACAAGCAACCTAAAACATCACCAGCCTTCCATCCATGCATCGCGTAAACCTTTTCACTGCGTGCATTGTGCCATATTAATCTTCTGCAACCGTCGAATGACAACGAAAACTGATCATCTCCAATCCCATATCCTTCCTGAAAATTATTCAAATAGAGCTTGAATAAAAAGCATTCTAGGAACATGTTTCACGAATACACACGTGATTGAGAAAAGTGCTATCCTTCGTTGCCCATCCAATTTGCATAACACCAGTAGTAATTATTAATGTTTCATAATACCACACTCCATCATCTACTTGAAATGTACATCGAACACTTTCAAATGAACAAGCGTCACATCTCGCCTGTAATTAATCAAAAAGTTGTAAATTGAAATATAAGTAATCTGTGCAAGCAAATCATCTTAATATTTACCTCTAAGCCATTGGGAGAAATTTTCAGGTACTCGCTTACGTCCTTTGTATTTAACATCACATTAATGCCAGTCATGTCGACCGTATCATGGGAATATTTTCGGCCTTCTATTAAAACTGAAGTTTCATAATAAAACTAGTTATTATTATGAAGCATAATTAGAAGTATTAATAAAAATAATGAACTTACATAAATTATCTAAACACCATTGAGCACAGAAACCAACTTGACGTCGGACATAATGGATATTATTTACCCATTTCTCTAATTCCAACAAAGGATTCTGCTTCTCTAGTAAGAGTCGCCTCTTAATTGTTACTTTATTCTCACCTAAAATTATAAATATTTCTATAGGTCTTTTTAAAATTAAAGAGTTAATTTGTTAATACTTGCTCACTTACTTGTTTGAGCAAATTTTTCTAATGCTATTAGGGAATACAATACAACATATGGTTCAATATCTTCTTTCTGAAAAGAGAAAATGTCCTTCTTATAGCTTACTTTCCACTAATCTCAATCAAGTGCTAATACAAAATATATTTTATCCTTACAAGATTTGACACAAGATAGTCTAGAGTATCATCTGATAAGATTGCTATACTACTAGGACCAGCTAACCTTTCAGCTATACATCCAAGAACCACGCAAATATTACGTTGTTGTGTTGCACTGGTTTGTACTTTACTGCTTTTCTGTGATAATTGAAATACTTGTGATAACCTTAACACTGAGTCCTACACATTAATGAAACAGAGTTAGAGTTATGATACATTTGACCACCAATTTAAATTTTTTTATTTATAAAACTATGATTAAACAGACTTTAGAAGGTAGTGGACAGTCATCTAACATTAATGTTATAACAGATGGGCCCAAGGGATCATGCATAGGAATTACATTGACCATTGAACTGACAACTTGAATCCAACCATCTTCCTTATCAGCAATGTTGTGCAATTTCAACATGGCTGGTGGTGGTTCTTGTTCGCTAAAAAAATTGCAGATAAATTATTATTCAATGTTCAATACTTTGTTTACACAGATGATCTGAAGTTATGCAACTCCTCACCTGTCAACAAGTAGCCCAATAACACCAAGAATCTCTAAAACTAGCCTATCGATGTTGGCAGATGTGGGAAACTTGTAGCTGGGAGCAGTTTCATTTGTTGTGACATCCACATGGTTGTCCATCAATATTGTGGTTCCCACTGCTCTTGTGCTATTATTTGTTTCATTTTGTTCGGATTCTTCATTGCTGGCATCTTTGCACAAGCAATTGCCCATCCCAATGATTTTGTAAGTGATCCACTGAAGCTTGCTGCTACATATAACTAGTGTGCTTAAGGTTTTTCTTATCCATTTGGACTAGGAGTACATTTTTCTTCTGCTGTTCTTCCCCGACATTTTTACCAAATCTAAGAACAAAAGATACAGGATTGAATGATTTATAACTAACCACTGACAAACTAACATTATTAATATCAATCTGATGAATGCAAGTATTTAGAACTTTTTTACTTTTACGATTTTGAAACTACATCACAAGCTTATCGGCTGACAATTGAACAAACTCGATTGTTAGCTTAACCTCTTTAATAAAAGGTTGTTTCACGAACGTACAGTTACATTAATAATTCACATGCAGAGACGCGGACAAACTTTTCGGAATAGTCAAAGAGAATTCGATGTGTAAACAAGACACGCCCCGTAAAGAGCGCTTAGATCCTTATAAATATTCCAAAACTTGCTCGTTTAACGTCTCGTGAGAAATAGAACACTCCGACGATCTCGTGATGTGCAATAAATAAGTATGTACTAATCGTCATTGCGAGACACTTGCGAAGGCACGCATTATATATTTGGAGCTGGCGACCTGATAATCAGCTGTGCAAAGCCGAGTGTATCATCACTCTTGACATTTTCATCTAATACATAGTAGACCAGAAAAGAAATTAAAAACACAACTTGCTTAAGGGATAACTCACCTGCCTCACTCTCGTTATCGTTAAAAAACACTGACCGAACGCGGCATTGTTGATCTAGAGAAAACACGAATTCGGCAACAAGACACGACGATTGACTCACTCTCGACTGAAAGAGAGAGGGATCCCGAATCGGTTAAGTTGTCTGGTGTTTTCGAGGTTATGTTTGTGTAAATGGAACGTCTAGGTCGAACTAAAAAAAGTGACCAGCAGCACATTTCAGTCTATAACATTCGTGGCTACTGGTTAGTTCAGTAGCAATGGAACATAAACTGAAGTGCGCCGCTAGCCACTTTTCCTTAGCTAGGCCGGCTCGGCCCACAACCCTGGAATTGCAAGTTTAGCGCGCGGGTTTTTAAAAGTCCGCCAAATGCGGCGAAGCGCGAATGAGACGCTTTCTTTTTTCTTTCGCCTCCGCTCTTCCGCGCACCTACAGCAAAGTTAACAATCACGCACAATTTTCGGCAATAACTTTAAGTAACGCAGCGCTTTGACAATTAGATAAAAGCGAGTGAATAAACGCCTTCTTATCATAGCTGTTGTTTTACACAACTGTACGATGTGGATTATTTCGTTGAAACGCAAATATGTTGAGTCACGAGTATAATCGCACGTCTCTTCTTTTTTTTTTGTTATCTATACGCATCGAGTGAATAAACTCAAATGCTATTTGCGATTTTTCGATGAGATTTTTACCACCGAACGCGAGAAGAAATAAAAAACAAATCAGAGCGAATTTCATGCTCCAGCGCGGAACACTCGGCCACTTACTTTCCGGTGTACAACAGCAGCAGGCCTCTCTTGTTTTATTCCTTTCTCTGTTTTACTTTTTTATTATGTTGTATTTTACCTTCCTTCCTCCCCCCCTCCCTCCCTTCGCCACTCTCTTTCTTTCTCAAAAGAACTCAAAAAGTTCGAGGAACGTTTCCTTTGTTGGACAGTTTCTAAGAATGTCAGTTGTCACGCTTCCATTGCTCTTCGACAATCCGGCACTGCATGCAAAAAAAGTAGCAATATCGTTACGCTTTTAGACACCGAATCACGACGAAAATGTTTACCAACTGTCAGATTTGTTCATCGAGGCGTTTAATACACTTGCGAAAGAATGACTGAAAAAGCCGAACGATAAAAGCACCTGTCACGATTTTCGGAATAAACAACAGCAACGAAGTGACCGATGCTATCGGAGACACGTCGTCAAGATAAGATTGACCTGCTAAGGAAATCAAAAGTGCATTGTATTGTTTGGAATTATGCGAAATCGTGTCTCATCGTTTTGGCGATTAATAATATTTTCTCAAAATCAGAGCTTCGTATAATCTTGCTGTATTGCTCGATAATCTTCGGAATAAAATGTAAAACATATTTATTGTAATCGATATGTACGACAATGAATTGTAACATTTGTGATATTTATAATTAGACACTATTATTGTTTACACTAGCGATCTTCATATCGTGCAATGAAAATTTTTGAATGCTGAAATATTACGGAATGCCGAATCAATATTATTAGTCGCGTGTAATTCGTCGAAACGAAAAATCCTATAGCTGCATGCTACATGTATGCCCCCGTATGCGAGGTATAACGCTGCTACTGGTAAACATACAAAAGCCCGCCCGAATAAAATCGATATCGCGCACATCTGTCGGTAGTCGGTGGCTAACTAACTATAACCCCCCTCAGGTTGGTTAGAGCCATGTCCGTAACAATAACTTCACGAGTATAGGCTGTCGCATCGCTGTCTCTCGCTCTCTCTCTCTCTCTCTCTCTCTTTTGCACGGCGCGCGTGATGTAAATATATGATCGATCGCGGTCAGCCGCTAAATAATCTCTCTTGTAGTTAAGAGAAGTCTCTCTCCGTAAAGGTGTTTCGGTGCGAGAGAGACCAGACGACGATGAAGTGGTGGTGAGATTTAAAGAATTACAAGTGCCAGGATGGAGACGGCCGTCGAGCATTGTGACAGGCTACTCCCTGAGTCCGATCACTACGTCAAACATTTCTATGACCTCTTCAAAAGCGTTGCCGAGGCGCAGAGGTAGGAGAGATCCTTGTACACTAGCGGTTAACCTATATGATTTACAAGGGTTGCCGAATGTGCATCTTTTTTAATTGTTCTTATGCGTAATTTTCAATGGTGTTTTTCGAATAGAAATAAGATTTTATGCCGGGTAATCGATTTGTCGGCTGAACATTTTCTGATTCGTTTCGATTTCTCACTATTTACAGACGATGCAAGATAACCTCAAAGCTCTGTCACGAGCGATATGTTTTTTATGTTTTGTTTCAGTTAACAGGTTGTTATTTGCTACGTAATCGAAGTATAAAAATTAAAACATACAAATTTACAATTCTATATTTCTTTGACACGGTGATATCATCGTTTATTCTTTAACATCTGCGTAAACGTTGATAGCGATATTATAATTTCATTTACTTTCGTTACTTACTATTTTCCAGCGTAATTAAAGCAATGAAATTCTGATAATAAAGTGAATTCGTCTTGAAAATTACATGAAAAAGAATGACAGTTGAAATCCTGTAGAAATTTTCATCGTGCTAAGAACATTATTGATCTTTGAAAATAAGTTAGCTTTCAATTGTTCAATTTGAATATACACAGCGGAAAAGTCGTCTGCTTGGCTTGATTTTAAATTACGAATCGGAGGAATTATTATTAAATAATGTTTTTGCAATAATATTTTAACGCCATCTGATCATACAGTTGTTGAATTTGGCACGTTTTACATAGAAAATATTAAACTCTTTATACGAGTTTTTAAAAATTAATATTTACGTATTGTTATGTAAAATTATATATACTGAAATAATAAATGAAAATTACATCCAAGGTTGAAAGGAGAATGGAAAAAATGCAGAAAACACAAAACAAAGAAAAAAGACAAGAAGAAGGCAAGGCTATCATGTGTAAATTAATTTAATCAATATAAAGTTATTTTTGAAAATAATAATTTTATTCATTTTTCTAGCCTGACCTGAATGGTGAAGTAACTTGTACTACAATACCAGAGATAGAAGTTTCCAGCAATGCCTCTGCATTTTCTGTATTTACAAGTGTTAGAAGTGCTGTTCTGGAAAAACATGCAAGAAGTATTAATGAGGCATACAGAGCTTCGAATTGTACCTCACCGCCACCTCCAGAATTCAGTGATAGTTTAATTTCAGATACTGACGATGAAGACAAAAAATCGTCAACACAAAATTTACCAAAGGTAATTGTTGATGTAAAGTCTGGTAAATTGCTGAACTTTCTAATGAAAGAAAATGTAAATTTTAGATTGTTGGAATTGGTTTAATGAGTGTTTTCGCATTGATGAAAGAAAGCAGAGCTATTGATTCGACATTATGCACAAAAGCACTCTCTGCATTACTAGATGTACTGCAAGGACAGTTACCTGAAAGTCTCAAAAGTGAACCAGATGATGTTATTAGTGAGTCATAATTTTGACAATTTTTATTTATTAAATAATACTGGAATGAGTTTTATTTTCACTGTGCACAATTTCAGAATCATTGTTCGAATTACTGCTGGACCTTGCAACATCGCATGGTCCTGAATCTGCAGCAGCTAATGATGGAAATCACTTGACTGCAGTTGCATGTGCTTGTTTAATTAGTTTAGTTGTTGTTCATGGAGATACAGGAAGACTTTTAGCAACTATTGCAGCACTATTGATGAGTCCACAGGCTCTTGCTGTCCAGAACATAAAGGTTTTTTATTTACTTTAGTGTAAGTAACTTATTGAGGAGTAAACACCTTAAAGTATTATTGAAATATTTTTCAGATGCCCATTGTACTTACCTCACTGCAAAGAAGTGTGCATGCTGTCTTACTTGGTAAGCTTGCTCGACCAGACTGGATAACTCATGGTGTTCCTAAGAATTCTAAGATTTACTCTGCTACACTTACCTTACCCAGCGAGATTAATAATTTAGTTTTAAATGGTCGAAGCTTTGTTAGTGATGGAAAGTATTTGTACCTGCATACAAATCGTGGTTTATTTAAAATTGGCAATGGACACGGTGGTACCATCTGGGGTCATGTTTATGTTCACAAACCAGATTTTTATCCTTCAGAGATTGGTTGGATTGGTTATGCAAATGTAAGTTTTTTCAATTTTAATTTAAAAAGCGTAAATGCTCTCAAACGCTAACGTTATTTGTCTTTTACAGAGTTCCTTGTATTTTAAATGTGCACCCAAAAAGCAATGTGAATTAATGATATTAGACGCTGATACATTGACCATAAGAGGAATCGCTGTTCTGGAAGGACGAGATTGGTCTTATTCCCTCATGTTTTCAGATGGAGAAAATTTGGGAATGATATCAGCGGGGAAAGATGTAAGTTTTCGTCATTATTTTATTAATTACCGGTTGGAGCGTGTTATTAAAATTATCGTTTCACGTAGGAGGGTTTTGTTGTTCGCACGATAAATACCCTGAACAATCCAGTGACAGTCACGTCTGAGCTTCCACTGAAACTAGCGAGAAAGTGCGTTGATGTGTTTGGCTATTCGCCATTCGACGAAGATCAACCAACCTACATTCTTAATCCTCATTGCGACGATGAAATCGGATATGTTGCTGCTGGCAAAGAATTTATGTTGCTCAAGACCCTTTCTGGCAAATTGATGTATTCGGGTAAAGGAAGGTGCATCGGTATGAGGAACAACGTAAGGTCGAATCGATGGCTTGAATTCTCTGTAGGAAAAAAGTGTAAGATTGTGAATTTTGCCGTTGGCCACGAAGGTCAGCATATTATTCTTATTCTGGAGGATGGCTCAGTGCTTTTCGCTGGCACTGCCAGACGAGGCGAAGATGGAGACAGCAGTGAGTACTTCAAATATCTCATTTTAGTATGTCACGTTCAATTTACGATGTTATTTTTTACAGATAAAGTGCGGTTGCCAAAGCCTAGTAAACCAAAGAAGATGCAAAAGGTCGAGGGCCAGTTTATCGTACACGCAGCATGTAATAACGGCTCCACAGCTCTGGTAACAAAAGAAGGTTCACTGCTTATGTTCGGCAAAGATACATTATACAGTGACGAGACAACTGGATTAGTGCCCGATTTGAAAGACGTTTGCGTTGTGAATGTTGCGTTAGGAAAAGCTCATACTGCTGTACTGACGAATAAAGGACATCTTTATACTTTTGGTATCAATAACCGAGGACAGTGTGGTAGAGACTTTTCGTCGCTGCATTCTGTAAATGTTAATAAGGAAGTTAATGTAACTGCTATGGAGACTGGCATTGCTGATGACGATGCTAATGGAACTGAGGATGGTGAGTTGTTTTTGATTCTTGGATATGGATGTTTTTAATTTTTTTAATAAACCATAAGTATTTCTACTCTTATTCTTTTTTCAATTTTGAGAAATTTTTCTTTTTTGCTTTAACTTTAATCCTTGAAATCACTTTTTATTTTGTACATATTCTGAACTATGAAATATAAATTAAAAATATGATAATGATTAGAATCGATAAGTGAGGATGAACAAAATCGGAAAATGAAGAAAACTTGGTCGAAAAGAGATCTTAATCAAGGTTAGCTCGAACTAATATTAAAAAATCTTCAGTTGTCGCTTTTATTTACATGAACTATATTTTTATTTTAAAGATGATAAATCTAGTGACAATTTCGACGATGGATTAGGCTGCTTTAGACTACCCGGTATGTGCCCCCCGGGTGGGCATCAATGGAGGTATCGAGTATGTATGATCTGCACCATTTGTTGTGAATGTACTGGTTACGGTAACTCGTGTCTCAGTAGCGTGAGGCCTGACAGAAATCCTGGACAGTAAGCTTTGCTTTCCCTTCCAGTATTTTCTTTTATAATCGAAAATCGCATATCAAAATTCGCGAGTAATTCTTTTTTAGGGAATGTGGTTGCGGTGATGGTGACAGCGGTTGTGCAGAATGTGGATGCTGTCGAACGTGTGCTCGCGAAAGTTGTGATAATGATAGTGATTTGCCGCTGTCCAAACTTGCCAAAAAGCTGCTACAAAACGAATGTGCAGGTGACTGATTTAAAACAAGGACTGTATCAACTTGTGAGGCGAATTTTAATATCGAACAATTGTAGCTTCAGGATCGAGGGAGAATTGGTCGGATTTAGCTTTAAGCGAGATTTTGAAGAAGCGTTTCGAGGAGAAAAAACAGAAACTATGGAAGGGACCAAACAATCAACGAGGGAACAACGGTGAGTAAAAACTGCTTTTACCACATGTTCCTACAAATATTTATTAAAACTTTCAAAACAACAGTTGGAAAAATAAAAGTAATAGTGCAGCAATATGTGCCGGCAAAATCAGGCAATAATGTAGCTGCAGTGATAAACGAGGAGGCAGCAGGTGGTGACGGTAGCGACGCCGAGCGTGGAGATACAACGCGAGTCGCTAGTATTCCACCAGCACGCGTATCATTTCCTGACGACAATCCAGTTGCTCAAGTAGCTTGTGGTTTGCATCATACCGTAGTTTTGCTGCAAAACGGCGAGGTTTATTCATTTGGTAGTAATATTTATGGACAATTGGGCGTTGGTAATCTTATTGCTCACGCTGGACCCATGCACGTGAAAATCCCCGGCGTGGCTATGCAGATTGCCGCTGGAAGCAATCATACCGTCGTATTGACGACTAAAGGCGAGGTTTATACCTTTGGTGCTTTTCAAAAAGGTGCGTGATACTTATTTGTTGAGTAATGAAAAGTTAAAAACCAATCAAATTTAAAGTATAATAAAATCAATTGTAGGTCAACTGGGTATGAATTGGTGCTACGATCAACAACAGCAACATCAATCTCATCAGCATAACCAGCCTCAAAGTCCACTCGCTTCTAATTCATTCTCGTCGCAAATTCATCGCGACAACAATTCCCAACCATGGCATAGTTTTCCAAATATAGTTCCAAATATTGGTTCGCGTTGGGGCCGTAAAGCTACGTGGATTGGAGCTTCAGGCGATCAAACTTACATCAAGGTAGATGAAATCAACAGCATAAGTCTCACTCGTAGCACCGTAATGGCGAATAAAAATTGTATCCTCCTTTTGCCTCATCAAACTGAACATCGAAACTCGTTCAAGTGCCTTGTGATTAACAAGCGCGACGGTACATGTAACAGCTTCAGTGGTCCCGATCAAGTTGATTTCAATCAGTGCGCTGCCTGTTTGGATCCACTTTACAATGTCATTTGGTCGCTTAATCCAACCAACAATGAAATCTCGTATTACAATATAATATCTACTGAATCAAGGACTATTTCCAATTTAGAAGTGTCGATTCTTAGTCCAAGTTTGGCATTGCCAGTCGTGTCTGACTGTTATGTGACCAGGTCGCAAGCTGCTATGCACTTACTTGCGTGTTTAGACACGTTATCGCAAGCTCAAGATGAGAAGTTAACAATTGTCGACGGTAGTGAGAATAATCAGTCTCCTCATGGTAAAGTTTATAACAGGGAAGATTTTGCGACTGTTTCGAGGTTCGAGAATCATGGTGGTGGTTGGGGATATTCCGGTCAGTCGGTAGAAGCTATTAGATTTATGGCTGACACAGACATTCTTCTAGGTAAACGACAATGCTATTTTTATTAAGATTATCGATTTTCACATTAAATCATTTTCGTGCTTCAACAGGTGGTTACGGCCTATTCGGTGGCCGAGGCGAATATACAGCGAAAATCAAACTTTTCGACATCGGTTTGGAAGGCGGTGAAGAAGAAGCTGACGGCGAACTTCTCGCGGAAACTGATGAAATTCCTTACGAGTGTGAGCCACGTCAGAAATACTCGATTTTGTTCAATGAACCTGTGCCATTGCAAGCAAATCGTTGGTACGTTGCTTGGGCTAAAGTCAGTGGGCCTTCCAGTGATTGTGGTTCAGGTGGTCAAGAGACTGTCACTGCTGAGGATCAAGTTGTGTTTTATTTCAAAACGTCGAAAGAAGCCAATAATGGGACTGATGTCAATGCTGGTCAGATACCGCAATTGCTCTTCAGGTAAAGTGTTCGATTGCTTTTTAAAACATTTGAAAGCCTGCAGTCTTTAATATTGATTCATTAATTTTTAGAGTAACTACACCAGAAAATCAAAATTATTCTCGCAAGAGGGACCAACAGGAGCCAGTGTACATCTTGAAGCGCGATTTCAGTCGAACTGTTACGGAACCATGCTTCCGTTCATTGATTTCTCAACTTCAGTGGAGTTGGAATACATTGAAAGCTAGCTTAGCTGACATGAGTTTACACGCGGCAGCTTCACCATCGCACATTATTACTGAGATGGATAGACTCGTATACATCAGCAAAGCCAGTTTGCGATTATTAAGAATATACACAAACGAAATCTATCCGAATCAGGCCACCAAGAAAACACCATCAGAATCTGTGAGATTGGCTGAGTGTATTGGGGAAGTTAGAGCGCTGTTGACGCAGATTCTTTCGGATTCTATTTCGCTTACCACGACGACCAAAGGTTTGAGAAATATTTTTAACTTTAGCTATAAGATTCAATTGTGAAAGAGCAAATTATTGAAATCGCAGTTTTTAAATGAAACAAATAGTATAGCTAAATAAGATATAAAATATATTTTAGGCAAGACACGCGTGAACAAAACTTCGACAACTTTGAGTAACAAGATGACCGGTGCTATATTGGACGAGTGTTACAAAACTTTCGTCGCCTGTTACCACGCGTTTTATCCTACGGCGTATCTTAAATGGACCTCTCTGTGCGAGTTATTATCGGAAATCGACAAAGACCAAGGCATTACTTCCAAAGACCGGTTGCTGTCGGCTGTTTTAGCTTCACTGTGTAGTTCTTCGGTGCGATTGCGCTGTACTTTTCCAATTTTAAATGACGTGATGGACAGTAGCGATAATGTTAAAAGACAGCTTAGCCCATCAGACAATGCCGGTCTACCGATGATGAACTCCACCGAGACCCATCATTATCCGATTCTTGTAGAGCAGATTAGCTACAAATCGCAAATTGAGAGCACCGGCAAGGAGATTCTTAATTGGTCCTTTCGAGAAGTTTTGGATAGGTAATTGAATACTCACATTTAATAAAATTCTTATTTATTTAAAACATTTTTCATTCCAACTAATATGTCTCATAATCGAAAAAAATTATAGACTTTTAGATTTAATACTCATTCCCGTGAGAAGAAGTCTCAAGAAAGAAGAAAGTCAATCGCTGCCACATCTCGTACTACATTGTTGCTACCTCTTAGCTCGTGTCATATCCGAGCTCGCGTCGTTCTCCAACGGACACGAAGACGATTTGCAAGCTGCTTGTTACAGACTTATGTACACAACGCCTTCAAGGTTCAGTCGCGTCAACCAGACGAGGTCATGGAACACTGGCAATGGATCGCCGGATGCCATTTGTTTCTCAGTTGACAGGCCTGGGATTCTCATTGCTGGCGTTGGTATTTACGGAGGTGCTGGTGCGTATGATTACGAACTAGAGCTGCTGGACGATGTAAGTTTTAATTTTGGATAGAATATTTTAACAGAGGGAAGGTGAACAATTATTATACGAGATCTTGTTTTTTAATTACAGAGGAACAATACTGGAAATGATCCATCGCACACGCAACATTGGAGTAGTTTGGATTTTACGAGAGGTTCATTTGGTTCAGACGACTGTGTGAACGACATTGTTGAGTTGAAATTCGACAAGCCTATTCCCATTAAAGAAAAAGTGAAGTATGCTATCAGATTGCGCAATCGAGGAGGTCGAACGAGTAACGGTGACGGAGGTTTGCGAAGTATAAAAGGCCCAGATGGCACATCGTTTACTTTTTCAGCGTGCATATTGAGCTTTAACGGTAAGTTCATTATTTATAGCCTAGAAAGAAAAGGCCAACGGAGAAATAACATTTCAAATGTCTTTTTGTAGGTACTACACAAGCTAGAGGCCAAATACCACACATTCTGTACTATTCGAATCCACTAGATACGAACGATCAGCATGCAAGTAAAGCGATGGCCGAGGTACAAGCACGAAAATGCACTTTAGCTATGACTGCCACGATCATTCAGCGCTCCAATGACATTTTGGCATTGGCACGTGAAAAAGCCGACGATGTTGATATTTATGAGATTTTCGGTAACGCTACCTTCGTTACTACACTACTGCCTCTAACCATGGCTTACATTATTCCATTGGCTACTTCTGATCCACGGGTGAGTCTCTGGTTAACTTCAGTATTGACATTTTACTTTTTTGCACAGAAATAAAGCACAATCGCTTTTATTAAAACATTTTCTATTGTTTTCTAAGAGAAGATAAAAATATACCCATTTGATTAAATTGAATAATAATAATATTTATCTATAGTTTAATTTGATAATAATATGAAAGATTTGTCAATTTTTATATTTTTATATTCTGTTTAAATTGCTTTGTTTGATTTAAAAATCCATATTATTATTAAATACATGTAATCATAATATTTTCGATTTTATCCCATTTCTATTTTATCTAAATTAATATATCGAGCGCACTAGATTTCGAACTTCATATAATTTTCATTTAGTCGTACCCAATATCGGATGGGATTTCGACTTATTAAATATTAGTATTTTTACTTTCAATTCTTCATTTTGTAAAATTCGTCGAAAGGTTTTTAATCAAACAAATGTTGCTCTATAAAAGTACTATTTTTTCACAGAGCGGTGTTCAAATACTCACGTTAATCCAAGAGATGATGCCGCACGTAACAGCGTTAAATCTGACATTAGCAATGAAGTTGTCTCAGGCGATGTCGCTGCATCAGAACGACGACACAGATAACACGATCCAGCAGCAGCAAACGGTAGCGCATTACTCGCCTCCGATTACCACCACAAGCCATTACTACACCTGGCTCGAAAGCGAGCATCCCTATAAGCCGGCAACGGTGTCCTACTACAGAGTCACTTTCCCCGAGTCCGTCAAATGGCTTACCATTGAATTCACTCCCGATTGTGGCACTGCACAACCAGAGGACTATCTCCAAATGTACATTCCTAATGTTAATGCCATGGCAGCTAAGTAAGTATGCGGTGATATATGTGCGTTTTGATGTGAGGTCGGTGTGAACAATTTATTTGAATTTTTTTTTAGAAATTTGGAAAGTATTAATTTGGAGGAAAGCCCGATCTACTGGCCGGTGCTTCACAAGCTCAGCAATGTACAGAGCCAATGGCCTCAAAGTGCAGTTGTACTACCTGGTGAGTTTATTTTTCAAACTTGAAGTTTCTGATTGATAGCGTGGAAATATCATGTATTTTTTGAAAAGTTTATAGCAAATGATGATAAACAACAACTCACTTTTCCAAGTAACGCCAAGAGCTAAAATAGTTTACTCGCGATACTTTTATCTGTGTAAATAAATGTTTTTTTTTCTCAGGCAATGAAATAATTTTCTCACTGGAAACGGCCTCAGATTATATGAAAGACGAGCGATCCATTACGTACGGGTTCAAATGTCTAGTCATTGGCTACGATTGGATTACAACAAACTTTAGTTTGAAAAATCTGGAAATTGAATTGTCATTTCTTGGCGGAGCTTGTGCAGCTAGTCTCATGAAGAAGAATCTGAATTTGCCAGAAATGTCTTGTAAGATATACCATTTTTGTCAGGAACGGTGATCAATCATTTGATGAAAAAAAAAAAATAAGAAACGTTTTTATCAATAGCTGATGATGACGAGGAGGATCCGGAACTCGCATACGAAACAGCGAAACGTATATTCATGGCGCACACAACTCTTCTTGGACGAGGTTTCGCTTTGGCAGCTCCACCCAGCGTTGCCCAAGCACTCGACGGCGTTCTTCCATTCAGGTAAGTGACACTTTCCAATTCAAACGAAAAATCAGAATCCGACAGGGTAATTTAATTTTACTTTTTCAATCGCGAACGACAATATAATCCAGCCAGCGATTTCCTCGATCTCTCAAATATCTCTTATTTCCGTGGAGTGCACTATTTCGCTCTATAAATTTACAATTCAAATCCGAGCTGAGAGAGACTCGGCCAAAGCAAACAAATCGAACGTAGACTCAGCGAATTGCCAAATGGCAAATTAATGCAGCCAACCCCGACCCCTCGAACGCTTCACTGCCAACGAATGGGAAAAAAGAACGGTAGAAACTCGACCGATAAACAAACGCGACCGATCGAAGATGCACGTCGTGTACAAGCAGGTGCTAATCAACCAATGCCAAGCTGAGCCGACCTCGCGACACGGGAGTGAGACGAAAGCGTTTTAAAAGCCCCCCTCCCCCCGTTACGTCCATTTATCTCCAGCGCCAACCAAATCGTTCGACAGGCAATTTTTCATACTTTGCGACCCGCCGATAGGATGCATTTACTCGATGAAACGCTCTACCCGAGCTTTCCGAAATATGTCTTTATTATGTATACATTTATAAAAGTAGATAGGTAGAGGGTTTATCGTGCACTCTGCAAAATCAATGCCGTTGAAAAAAAGTTTCGCCTGCCTTACTTTGCACTCTCCTTTCTTTTTTAATATCTTGTAAGCACTATTATTATTAAAATTAAGTAATGACTCTCGACACAGTTTTTTTATAGGCATTAGATCCTGATCATAAAGCTTTCTTTTCTACATGTAAATAATGCACTTTGAAAATGAAATAATTTTACTCCTATTACGTGTTTTCTCATATCATTGGAAAACAACGATAAAACCTATTCCAATTTGTTGAATATAAAGTACTTTTTCTCAATCACATGTACTTTTATTTCTGTCTGATTGAATGTGACTTGAAAAACAAGATTACGGATCTTAATTGAAAATCGTTTCTTCGAAGGAATAATTATCAAATTGATCCAAGAATAAGGTCACTCAAGACGTATTATTTCTATAGTTTCCATCGTAACCTCCGAGGAGATAGGGCAAGCAGCAACTCTCGCCAAACACACGCACGCAAACGTAAAAGTTACGCGTGGAGCTGTGGTATCTCCGACGTGGGCTTACGTAAAAAGCGACTAGTGAAAAAGTTTCTATCCGTGCTGAACGTGAGAATCGACTTATCGGTTGTTGGTGTTCCGTTCGCGCGCGCCAGATTAGCGCTATACGCCAGACGTTTATATTCTTTACGATGACAGCTTCGCAATGCGACCGAAGGACAAAGTCATTGTAAGCTCGCGCGCGACACACACAAAGGCTGACAACGATAGATTTCTTTTGCGTTGCGCCTCGCGTGTAAAAGAATAACACGGTTCTTTTCGCCTTGCTTGCACTATCCGCTCGCTCAATATTTAACTCCTCGAGATGTCGTCTCTCTTATTGCGCAGAAGAAGAAAGTGTCTTTCTTAAATTCACCGGTCGCCGAGCGAGAAGGGTTGGTAACATTTTTTTCCTCTGCGGGGTGGACGATGAAAAAAAAAATGACCTGTAAAACGTTTTACGAGCTGTGTTATTTACGATGAAGCGATTAGAAGCTATTTGGTGTTACGAGGGCTGCTAAAATAACTATGATTAGCTCTTTCAATTTTCCTCCGTGCACAACTTGCCTGCCGCGGTTGGTCAATAATTCTCATTGTGAAATGCGATCGCATGCACCGATAATATACAGTCATTATCCGATGACACGATAGGAAGAAATTCTTATTAAAAGTCTTTATTAGAACGAGCTTTCTCAATGATAATCTTGTTGCGAAGAACGTTATTAGCTGTGTGTCTAATTGAAATTACCAGGCTCGTTCATTTGGTCATCGAAATGGCCGTCGAGTTTTAACGCGTTCGTTTTAGTGTAAGCAGTTCGTACATTATTGAAAATATTGATTGATCGAACCGGCAACTTTGAAATATTGACGAAGACTAACCTGTTGAATTTTTGACAAGCACTACTCGTGATTTGGTTGTTTCGTCTGGAGTTTTTCGTCGGTCGGTATGTCGGGGTCGTGTAGCAGATGACTCACGACTTTGCATAACTTCCAGACACACACACACGCATGATTTCTTTGAGACTTTCTACATTAAATCTTTTCTAGGCAATAAAAAAAAAGAGTACACGGTTGCCAAGTGTCGTTTTAAGCATCTCACGTTCCTACAATTCTGTATTTCTTTTTCTTACGGCAGTCGTTCTTACATATTCTGTACGAAATCCACAATCACTCATCAATTATTCATTTAAAATACACGACCAGCTTACGTAATATTACGTCTATCTTTATATTAGTAAAATTTCATTCAAAACGCCATTACACATAGCATCTAAGCTTCCGTCGTAGTTCGAAAGGAGAAATAGCGGCACGAAATTCGCGCGACGATGACAATCGTGAATCGGCATGCAAATCGTCTCATTAGCTTATCAATCGCGGCTGCCGCCGCTGCATTGTCGCACGTCTTTGCTGCACCTCCGCCGGCGTAAATCAAATGGTGATAATTGCGCGATATCGTTGCACGCACACACGCACGCACACTGCCAGTGGAATCCGCTAATGCACGCCGTTAATTGAAACTCGTTCGTAATACATGTACGCGCGCGTGATCGAGTTTTTTGTTGTTGTTTTTTTGTTGGCGTTGTTGTGAGCGTACGGGGTGATTTGTAGGTTGATTGGGAGAACGAGATTCTTTTGGTAACGAACGTGAATTTTGAAACGAGATCGCTCGAGAATTTATAAGGGAAAAAAAGGTAAATGTGAGTTGTGAAATTTACCTTGAAAATGACTCGATTGTAGTTCGTAATAGAGCTGTAGTATGAATACGTAAGAGACGTGTAAACGGGACGATGTCGGAGACAATGCTTTCTTTTGTAGGCTGAAGTTCGCTGGTATTTTCATTATTTTCGTACTCGTAAAGAGAACAGTGGCATCAGCGAAACACAAAAGGAAAGAAAAAACTTCTCTTCAGAGAGAATACGCATTTACTGCCTTTTGCTTCGTTAAAATAAGTTATCTCCTCGCGGTGTTCTTGTTTTCTTCGCGCAGTAAACTTTGACAATGAATCTTTATCTTTTGCCGAGGGATAATTATCCTTTCATTTTTTGCTGTTGCTTTTTAGCGCAAGCCATTTTCATTGCCGGGCTTGATGAGTGATGATGCGAGAACTTGCGCGCGAAATGATAATTGAACTCGATAACGGAGAAGAGAGTATCCGAAACGAACTTGCAATCGCTCTGGGCAGTGTTTTCGCGCGGCGAGCCTCAAAGTATAATAGAAAAATTACAGAGCACGCGAGAGGCCACTGAAAAGGGGAAAAAGTTGTTTGCCAGCTTACCTGCACGTCGAATCGTCGCTCTTTCTTTTCTCATTCGCGTAGCCTTGTTAGAGGTCGCGGCAAATTTGCACGTTGATTCGATCTGACTATGGGAATCTAAGCGTGGTAAAAACGTACAATTGACGGCTTGCAATGATTTGTCGTTTGATTTTTTATTGAAAATAAAGGAAACAATTGAGGGTTGGTATCGTCGCAATAGAACGCTTAAATACTCGCTTAGTTACACAATGCTCGCTTCTTCGTTCGTTACAAAACCGATCCATCGCATTTGCGCGTCTACGTCGCCAAATACTAATTACAGTATCCTTACAATTAGGAAAGAATGACGCGCTTTTCGCCGCCAATCGATCAAACTCCCTTACATACTATTATTCGTATTGTTTTGCGAGCGTGAAAATCCGCATGAAACTCGCGACTAGGCTTTATACGTGAGCGTGTATGTGTTATTATTTTCGGCGGCAATCTCGCCCTCCGGCAACTCGACTTAAGGACTAAGGTACGACATCTCGGGGTCTCTCCGCGATGACACACTTGAAGCACTGGCACTCGTGAAAGCTAATGGGGAATACAATGGCATTGAGGAGGCGCAGCGCGAGATTAAATGAGATGTGCGACGCGCACTCTCCGAAGCTAATTCCGCCTGCGCGAAATAAAGCAAACCAAAGCTAACGTGACAGCGACACGACACCGACGTCTTATGTTTTTATTTTCATTTTTATCTTTTTAAATTAAACATTTTATATTTATAAAGAACGAAACAAAACAATTTTTTATTATTTCAGAAATAACAAACGATACGTGTGCATGTGCGTGTTCGTAGAGTCAGACATTTTAATGTTTATATTCTTTGATATATATTATTCGATATACCAATGGAATATGAGGTGGGATAAGGGGATATGGCAAACGCAAAAACTATAAGCTTTTATTTGATCATGGCTTGCAGACAACAAAACGCTGATGTATGCGCTTTTTCTTCACAATCTGTCGTTCGGAGGAAAAATATACATTTACTCTTTTCTTTTCTCTCTCTCTCACTCTCTCTCCCTCGATCGCTCGCACACTCGTTATTTATATGTATATTTGCATATGTATGTATATATATATATATATAATCACAAATGGTCCATGAAGCCATCACCACAGAACGTTCGTTTCGTTTCGACGTGCTTCACTGTAAAGGTCGAAAAATACCTCACGAAAATCATCTAATATCACGTATTTACACGGCTGCCGATTCTCGCCTTTGGTCACAGCCTGTAAACCCTTGAGGTATCTTCGACGTACTCCTCGATGCTGAGTTGTTGCTGCGGGGACTGCCCTGCGCGTCGATTGGTTTGCGTGTCTCTCGCGTGTGAGACACGCGGTAGCTCTCGTTACAATTCCGTCGTCAATGGTTCAGCCTTCTCCACGATAACGTGAAACTCGGTTTCCCTATACAGTCTTCCGTCAGGAACTACCATTGTTATCCTACTGTCGACCGGAGCGCCACCCGCAGTCACGTTAACGACGTTACCGTTCTTAGCCATCTTGGAGTTGACCACATCCGGTGCCGTTGTCGGTACGCTGATCCAACGCTTCTGCGCATCCCTTCGTCGCTTCCGACAGCAATAAACTACCAGACAAGTGACGAACAATAGGACCAGAACTAAAGCCGACAAAGCGAGAATAAGAAAGAGCATGGAGCTGCTTAGAACACAGTGACGATTCTCGTATTTGACGAACGACATGGTCGTGCTGCTTTCTGGATCTTCCAGGCAGAGGAAGGTTTCTGGATCGTCGACGCTCGACTCTAGTGTGAACGGTGGCGCCACGATACTGGTGGTACCTTCTCGCGAGGTTATTAGTCTTGAGTACACGTTGGTGTAATTTAGTATCTGGCTACGCCAGATGTTTATCTGGTCACAATCGCAGGCTTGATTAACCAACACGTTGCTGAATTCCACTCGGAAGCTGTTGCGATCGAACAACAGCGAACCCTCCTCAAAATTGGTCACGTTGTTGTCCTTGAACATAAGGCTGTGTGGCTGTCCACTTGGCTGTCGGTTGTCCGTGTCCGCCCTTATCGACAGGAAAGCCCCGAAGGAAACGTGTTCCAATGTGTTATTCTTGATGATCACAGTGCCGCTGGCGGTTATGTCGAATGCCTCGCCCTCGACGTCGTTTATCGCACAATTTAGAATCGCCACAGTCTTGGGTTTACGAATGATGAACGCAGAACTTTGTATCGTGCCCATGCGAACACCGTCGAGCATGAACTTGTCGGTAACCTCGATGTCGTTCATTACGCGACTTGGTATCCTATCGCCCAAACTTCCGCCGATAATGTGAAGAAATTTAACGTCGAATTTTTTGAAAGCCAACGCTTCCAAATTGTTGATACGGCAATTTTCCAAGGTTATGCTATTGGTGTTGATGAGATTGGCGAAGGCGAACGCCGTTACGTGCGATATCCGCGTATTGTCCATGACGATTGTCTCGATGTCGCCATGAAAGACGTTGCTTGGTAACACCTCAAGACTGCTATTTCTTATGGTTACTCGCGTTTTGGTAGCTTTGGCCGAGAGTTTGAAGCTATATCGTACGAGGCTCAGATTGGCAACGTTGACGAAGTCTACCGACATCAAGCCATCCATTTGAACGAGGCTATGATTGGTGAGGACGACTGAGGAACAATGGTTTACCGAGATGCGACTGGTATGTAGGCTTAAACCCCATTCACCTTCCGACGTTAGAATCAGCTCCTGCAAAACACAGATAAAGAGAGTCGTTTAGTTTTCCGGTGTCTGTCTGTGGATTAAATGGACTTTCAACTCCTAAAGGGATTTTCATTGGGGTAAGGGTAATTGGAGTTTATCGATTTGCGGGATTAGGGTATTAGAGTTACGCTGATAGTCGATTAGTTAAAAGATCAGCGTGTATTTTGATATGTTCTAATGTCCAGCTGTGTTACAATTACGCACTGTAAATTTAAATTGACCCCACCCCTTTGCAAATTTCGAGTACTATAGCTTTTAGAAAAGCTCGTCGTAGCGGAAACCCCGACTCGGAACAAAAATTTTTTCCAATTACCAAGCGCAACGCATTTCACCGATCCACCACCAGAAATTTGCATTCGATTCATAAAAAATAAAAAAAAATAATAACAATAATAACATTCGTAATCTTGGCCCATTTGGCTTGCAAATGATAAGACTTGCCTCCAAACTCTCATTAGGATCGCCTAATCCTATGCCGACAGCAAGCTGCCCGTTACAATAACCGTCGCGCGCGTCAAAGTTGCCCGAGGGCCAGCCGGCGCTAATAAGGGTCGCGAGAATTGGCCTTCCACGGCTGCTACTGCGAAGGCGCAAAATTGTTCTAATCGGTTCCAACTGTCGATAGGACGTATTAATTAGTCTGCTCCGGGTATAGTTCCAATTAAAATGCGACGCGCGTTTCCACGAATCTTCCAGTTTTTTTAACCAAACGCAGTCTGCTGCTATGATACTCTAGTTTTTTTCGCCAGTTACCTTTTGTAGGTCACGTGTGTTCTCATCGTTACGTGTCCTGGAAAATCTTGACAAAGCGTATGAGGGGCAGAAGCAAAAGCCATGTGTACAATTACATCAAAGCGAGTATCCCTCGTATTCGAAAAGCAAGAGGTGCACGCATAGCGGCAACTAACCTCCAAGAGCGAAAGAGAGAGAATATAGCTATGTGCCGAGTGGCTCGGGGCTACTTCCGTTAGGTGGTGAGTTGCCGCTGCTCTGACGATGATCATCGGACAAAGGCTCTGATCATTGGCATTTCACAGAACCTTTCCTATTCCATCCAATCAATATACAAACGGGATAACTCCATTTTAAACCCTCTCTTTCATCTTCGGTCGTACTCACGTGTACCTTTTAATTGCAAATGATAACAATCGCGCGAGTTATAGTTTACGAATTATTATTTTTTTTTCGCAGCCTTTCGGTTTTATCGACGACGCGCAGTCGCTGCAAAAATGTTTCGTCGAAGCGTTCCATGTTGTACAATAATATTTGGCGGGGGTGAATAGCAGAAGCGTCTTTCAAGTATCAAAAGTTACATATGGCGAATGATCGAAGTCGCGAGTGACATTTACACGCGCGGAGGGAAAGATAGCAAAGCTGAATTTCTCGAGGTTGTCGCGCAACTTTTCCATTCTCGCGCTCACAATCATCCTCGTAACCTTCGCCTCGAAACTTCTCCAATTACAGTTTTGCGCCGATAAGAGCGGAATTCCATTAGGTCACCCGGTTTATTCTGGCGCGGGAGATGCAATGAATGCAATGGCATAGTTCTTCCTTCCTTCCTCTTCTTTTTATTATACTGATAATTTCCACGGGGACGCGCGGACTCGAAGGAAAATCGCTTTTTCTTTTAAGGGTACCACCGAGACCCAGCCCGATCCGTGGATTCCGGCTTGGTCGATCACATTCGTTCTTGCCCCGTCGCTGGATTTCATGCAATTTTACGACCTCGTCGCTCGGGCCAATTCGTATTTTTTTTTGCGCGAGAACTTCTCTTCGCGCGACGAGCAATTATCAAGCTCATAATTAAAGCACAATAAAGCTCTGGCTGAAAAGTTATAATGAGAAGAGCAATAATTCGCTCGCCGCGAGAGGCAGAGGGCAGGCCGTAATGAGCGCGAGAGCGAAGGAAGAAACGTCGTCCATTCAATTTCGCAAAATACACTCGGAGAAAAAGGAGACGCGCGATCCGAACGCGGATAATAAATGTGCACGCGTCGCGGCGACTATTGGAATTTCATTGCGTGCGCGTTATACGGTTTCGCTGAAAATGATAACGCGGAATGTCAATTAGAAAGTTGGCCGCGAGAGGAAGGGAATTGAATTTTCTTTATAGGCCAACGCGAAAGGGGGATGGCGGGACAACTTTTCCATCATTCCTCGTAAGAGCTTTTCCTCATGAAAAGCTAAAACTTGCTCTTACGGAGTTGCTTGCGCCATTCTCCCCCCTCCCCCCCGCCGTTTTTTTTTCAACTTAGCAAGAGATCTATTGTATACTTAGGGATAAATTATGAAATCTCTAGATAACAGCAGTTTTATACAGTACAAAAACATCGACTGGACGAGGAAGGCAGAAAAGGAAAGAGACATAAAGAGAAATAAAGGAAGAGACGTCACGGCGCGTAACGCAACGCGCGCGCGTCTCTCGTTCGTGGCTTCGTTTCGGCTGAGAGCTCATCTCCGTCCTCGTTGATGCGCGCGCGTCAGATCGCGGCGTAATTTCATTCGCGAGCCGAGCGTTTGTAAATCCTTTTCGTCGGGCTTGTCCCTTGGTCCGGGATCGGGTTGACACGCGCACGGACGCGCGATCAAGCGGGCAACGCGCGCGCCGAGCGTGACTGATAAAAGAGGCTCGAGGTGGAGAAAGAAAGCCGCAATATGCAATTAACTTGCGCGCTCTCCCGTCGGCGTACACTCGATAAACCGCAACGGCAGACAAAGGTTAATTTTCAGCCGCGATGGCTCCTTTTCAGCCGGCCCTCTTTATTTTACGACCTATAAAGGGATTTACGCGAATGGAAACAATTATGCGCTTGGCGCAATCGGCATTTTCATTAAAATCGGACGCGCGCGCGCGAGCGCGGGCGCGGCAATGGAGGGCTCGCGGTCGCGCGCGTCGGCCGTTTCGGGCGCGCGCTCGCGCAACGAAACGAGCCGCGGAGAGCTCGGCGAGCTAATTGCGCCTGCCGGCCTCCCTCGGCCGAGGATCGAGTAATTAACGGCATGGATTTTCCCTTGGAACAGCCGCGGCAGCAACCGAAATACAAAGCAAATAAAGCCGAGGAAAAGGAGGCGTTCGCGTCGGCTGCCCAGGCTTTACGATCCTTCGCCAAGTGCTTTTACGAGCGACGACTTGCGGCTCTCGCGCTCCTCTTTTCTCTCCCGGCCGCGGAGAAGTCGCGCGAGAGGGACGCGCCCACGGGAGCAAGGCGAGAGGCGTCCGCCTCCCTCCCCATTAAAGCTACGCGTCAGCGTGCACTCCGTGGCGAGAGAGCCAGCAAGGACGTGCCGCCGGCTCGCTCTTCCTCCCCGGTGCGCTCTCGTTGCGAAGGGGAAGCCCGTCGGCGAGTCGCGAACTTTCGAGCTTCGGGCCCGATTAATCGACGAACAGCCATCCGCGAGCAGGCCACTCGGAATGCCTACGCAGAGGAGGCGCGAAAGCGTAGAGCAGCGTCGTCCTCGACGAGCCCAATCAATCCTTGCAATCAGCCGTCATAACCTATGCGACTGCCGTATCTCTCTCCCTCTCGCTCGGCCCGCCTCTTAAATAAATCGAGCGAGAGAAATAGCGCTCACGTCTCTAGCGTCGCCTAGGAAAAATGCCAGCCGCGAGGTTGCCCATGCATTTTTCACTTTGAGAAATCGCCGGAGAGAGTCGTGCAACGGATGTTACGAGGTTTATTTTCGACTCGCGCATGTGCGCGCGCGAACGCCGACTGATTTTTCTTTATTTCTTTATTTAGCCAAGTCCGGAAGTCTGCTCGCTCTTCGCGCGCGTGTCTCCTGTTCTTTACACGGCCGGAAGCAGGACGGACCTAAGAAACTCACACCGCGTCGAGAAAGGAGAGCTTTACCTGCGACGATTTGCTTCTGCCTCTCGTTCGCTCCCCCCACCCCTCTTTCTCTCATTTCTAAAAGCACAAACTCGCGCGCCTCCGCCACGAGCGAAAAGGGATAGGCAGCCCGGCTGCTTTTTGCTCGTAGGCGGCGGAACTTGAACTCGGCGCGCAGGGCGTTGCGCGAGCAGTATACCTCCTTTTGTTCTCGCTCGAGTGTCTGGTGGGAATTGCTGCGCGTTGCGTTCGAGGAGGGTCTGTTTGCGCGCGAGCTCGGCCCCGGCCGGGACGAATTTCACATCGAATTGGGCGTCGCGGGGACCGATGCTGCCCGCGCGCTCTTTACCTCTGAACTGTCCTTGCAGTCGCAGGTGAGTCTACCGAATTTGTCGCACGTGCAAGGCGCTGCGTTACACCTGCCGTTACCAAGACTCGTAGCTGTGCTGCTCGCCGACGGCAATCCCGACGACGACACGAACAATCCTAGGATTGCCGTGCCCAGCACCAGTCCTCCCATCCTCATGTTTCGCTGGCCGCTCGCTCGCTCGCTCCGCTCGAGCCTTCGTCTCTTCGCGCGATCTTTTTCGTTACTCTGGTCGGTCGACCAATGCACTCCGCACAAGTTTCGTTCACATGGTCGTCGCCGGGGCACGTGCAGCACGCTTGCCGCGCGCCTGCGCCTCGCTCCCGCTGATCACATGTTGTCGATCCACTTGCGCCGCTGCGAACAACGGATGCGCGCTCCTACATACTCGCATTCGGATACTGCTGGTGCTAGACTGCACCTGCAACGTGCAGAAGAATACGTTATGCCAAGTCGAAACGCCGCGCCAAGATATACTTTAAAAGAGAAATAAAAACGTTTTAATTGCAAACTTGCGGCGGCAGTGCCTATGCTTTTAATGAAATTGCACTGGGTAGACAGTGAGCCGTTTCAAAAGGAACAACTGTTTCGCTTTCACTCGCTGTCGATCAGTTTTAAAACTAATATTTCGGGAAAAACAACTTGCGAGCAATTGCAATGGAAATCAATTTCAATCAAAGCTACAAAACAAATCGGTCGGAAAATCATTGGCGGAATTTCGAATAGAGTGGGAGAGAGAGAGAGAGAGAGAGAGAGAGAGAGAGAGAGAGAGAGAGAGAGAGAGAGAGAGAGAGAGTCATACTTTTAAAAAAGCCCGTTGGCAGGTGGACAAAGGTGGTACTCGTGTCGCCTCTCGTCGAAATATCGAGCCGAAGCTGCTGGCGCTGCTTGCAACGACGACGACCACTCGTACGTCACGATGACTTGTCATTGATCGACGAGCACTCGCTCTCCTCTCTGGAAAGAAAAGAGAGGAAAAAAACATTTTGCTTCCGTTTGAAATCCGGACCTGTTTTATCCGAGCTTCTGAATTATTGTTGGGATCGATTCGCGAGACTTTTAGCGACGGAGTTCTCTGCAAAGGGACTTTTTAACGACGAAGGATACTCAAACGCTCCTCGCGGTTCATTGTACACGCGACTCGCTCGCGAGATTCAGGCTTCCTTTCATCGTCGTTTGCTTTTCACTCGTCGCATTCGTAATGCACGGCTTTTCTATTCCTATGACAAAGAAAAAAACGAGAAGAAAAAAAAAAAAAAAAAAAAAAAATCGCGCGCGAGCGACCTACATACCGCGCACTCGTAGAAATTTTCGTACGAGAGCGAATTGTACTCGCGACTAGAGAAACATAAAAGGAACGAAAGATTTGCCGAGCCGTTATTACCGCGTCATATCGCTCGCGCGCGCGAACCGGACAAACTGCATTTTCTCTTTGTTTTTCTTTTGTCAGCCGCGAGCATTATATTTTGCGTTTCCTTTTCGCTCCCTCTTTTCGGCGCTCCGCGCTCGGACAACCTCCGCTCAAAGTCATTCGCGCTTAATCTTTCGTCACCGGTCCGCGATTATTCCAGCGTGTTAACGCGGCTCCACAATTTTCGCGCGCGCATATTTTCGTTTTGTTTCGCGCGGCGAGCTGCTGGCGCCTCTTTTACGTTCGTCGGCGTCCGGGCTGTGAGCAAATAACTTTTTTTTTTCCCGGAAAATGGTGGGTTTTAGCGCGATTTATTTATCCTCGCGCGCGCATCGCTCGCAGTGCATAACCGTAATATTTATACTCGGTCGGTGTACATCGCCGCTGTTTATTTTGTAATCGAAACTAAATATGACATTCCATTAAAGCGCTCGGCGACCTTCAATTTATCGCGCGTCAACGAAGCGTCGAGAATGAGCATTTTCTCGCGTGCTGGCCCCGTCCATTAATAGCAAAAAGGCATTTTTGCTTTTCGTTGCACTCGTGCGCCAGTGGCCGGGCATCGAGAGGAGCGAGCAAATTAAAAATTCAAATTGATAAATCTGAACCGTCGGCCACTTAATTTTTTAAATGCCGAACGCACCGTGGAGGGCCGAGCATGCAGCGACTGCTCGCGAGCGCCATTGAAGCGTTTTACGAGCGAGCACCATAAAGTCAACAATTGCTCCGGGCATACACAGCCGACGAAATGAGGTCCTATTTTTACTTCTTTTCTTTACCTCCTGGCGACTTGCGCGCGTAGCGTAATGTTTCGCAATTATAAGTTGAATAAATTTTGCGCGATGCGAATTGTTTGCCCTGCTTCTTTTGTTTGTTTGTGTTTTCTTTTTTGTTTTCTGCTCGGATCTGCTTTTTCCCAGCGGCTGTAATTTTGCATGAATCCGGCGCGCAACAGTCGACGTGGAAAGTTCAAAAATATAAGCATCGCGCAACGATGATAACGATAGAGCTAGATGTAAAATATATCTAGGTCGGATAATTAAAGTTCGACTGTTTTTTTTCCATTTGGAAAAACTAGCCTGGAATTTCAAAAGGAGGAGTCCTCATTTGAATTTGTATTGCCTTTACCGTAAAGCTGCCAGTGAAAAGAGCGCTCGGCAGAGAGATGATACGAGAGGATTATAGGGATCAGATTCTTTTTTTTCGGGATATGTATGTGTGGGTATATATATTCACACACTCGGGAACGAAAATCCTCCTTTCCTCTCGGCTTATTTACATGTTCTCGTCTCTAGCTAGATGTATTTTCGGGACAGTTTTCACGTGTTAATTTATTGGAGACGCTTTCTCAGCGCTGGAATGTACAAATTTATCCGACAAATGCACCAATGCGGTATCGCCGCTCATCGATCATCAACACTCTCGGAAAACATGAAAACAAAAAAAACAAGATATCTTACGCAACGTCGAGCGCAACTGCAGTAGCCTCGTTAAATTTAATCGAGATCAAGCTGCGCGCGTGCTCGTAAAAAACATTCGGCCGCGAGTAAATATTTTGGATCGCGCAGTTGCACACGCACGCTGCAATACATTTCTAAACGAAATATTTTTAGGTACGCGGGGCACTCGATCAAAAGTCGCGCGGCTCGTAGAACGGCCGCGTTAATAATTAATTGTCTCGCTATCGTTTCAATAGAACCAGCCCCCCTCCTCCTCCTCCACCTCCGCGTTAATCACGCAATTTATTTGGCCGTGATGGAAGAAACAAAAGGACGAGAGAGAAGTGTTGCAACGCGCGCGGCTTTCTACTATATCAATAGTAAGCCCACACGTAAATCCACTCGTGCATCTCCTGCAAGGCTGCGAGGAGCCGTCGACGATTAATTCGCGGGCAGAGGTGCGCTTTGCGGACATGGGCGTGCGCGCGTCGAGTTTCGGCCGGTGCGACGCCGGACTTATCCTGCGAGCGGTTCCCGGCCCCCGTCGTAGACGGGGCACGTTTCTGGAGAGCGCGCGACCGATGCGTTCCGCGAAATGCCTTTATCGCTTGGCAATCATCGGAATCGGTGACGTCATCGCTGCGTTCGCCTCGGATTCCTATCTCGAGCGCCTTTCGCGAGCCTTCGCCATCGCTCCTGAATCACACGCGAGGGCTTCCGCGATGAACCAGACGGCGTCGGTATCTTTTTGCTCCGAGCGCGTAACGACGCCCAAGCAAACGGAAGCCACTCGAGCATTCCGATTCTCCTTTGCTTCGAGTAGATCATTAGCGATATTCTTCGTTCTCCTCTAGTTTTCGAAAAGGTATTTGAAATTCGAGCTCGGACGCAAATTGCCACCGGAGTATTCCCGCGAGTGCATAACGCACTCGAGATAGAGAGACACACACGCAAGAGAGAGAGAGAGAGAGAGAGAGAGACCTAGTTCGCTCTTATCTCCTCAACTGCTGATCCGATCGCAAAACCGCCGGCGGAATTTCCGTGTCGGCGGGGGGAGGGAACGGGAGACGCCGCATTATCAGCATGAATGCGAACGCTCGCGGGTCTCGCGCCGCGAAATGCTTTATTTGCCGGCGCGTCGAGTATGCTTAGGTGTGCAAATTCTTACTGGCTATTATCGCGGAGGTGCGCCCGAGAGATAGCGCTCACCAAGTGCTCTTTATTTATTTATTATTTTTGACACACCAGCGCATCGTCTGGACAGCACTACTCCGGCACATAATCCCAAAGGCTGCGCGCACAACACGCCCGTGTCGTTCGCTCTCGGCCGAGCAACTCGCTCTCGCGTGACAGCGCGTAAAGCACCCAACTCGCGCGGCGCGCGGACAGCAACTGAACTCGCGCGACGGGAGAGAGAGCCGGGTTCAACTCGATCGTATCCCTACTACGCGTCGTGCGGATTCTCCCCTCTACTCCATGCTCTCTCTCTCTCTCTCTCTCTCTCTGTACACTACTTGCTCTCTTGAGTATATGAGAGCAAGTATTCTTCAGAGAGCTTTTTTATTGCATTTCTTTTATCTTGGATATTTCACTTGCGATGGTTGGCCGAGTGAGCGATAGAAGATTGTTTTCTGGGTCATGAATTTGTTTTATCGGAATTAGGCTCGTTTTATCTTAGGAAAGCGTTGACGAGTTGCAATTGGATAACTGAGTATTTTGTAGCTCGTTATCCGACGTAGGCATCGTTGGAAATTGCTTAGACTTCGCACCTTGCGATCAGGCCGTAAAGAAAACAACCTACTCTGTCTACTCGACCGTACGCACCGCGGCGGCACGAATTGTGCAAAGAGGCGCAGAGAAAAGGCAGATGGCTATCTTGCGGCGAAAGAAAACGCGCGTGCGCCGCTGATAGGAAAGGGCGCTCAAAGGTCGCAGACAAAGCTACGTTATTTGACCAACGATAAATTCGCGAGCGAGAAAGGTCGATGGGCGGCTTCGCTCGCGTCGCGAACGATCGCCAATGGAAGCAGAACAAAAGCCAGATTTCCAGACCGGCGGACAAGACTTGTGGCTGCGAGCGCAACCTAACTAATGATAGTGCAATGACGCGACGCATTAATAACGCAAACGTTCATCAAGCATTTAATAAGCCCTCGCGTTTTCATCTGGTTTATTTTTTCTGTTTTTTCTCTTCCAACAGCACCGTCGACCGACCCCCGTTCTCGTTTTCTTTTTGTTTTAAATTGGAACACGTGGCATGCCGACAATACGAGCGATCGAAACATCCGCAAGTTCTATTTCCAAAAAAAACAATCCTGGAAAACAGCGGGCGACGTCGTTCAAATTTTCCCATCGCATGACCTAAATTCGGAATAAAACCAAACCGCGAGAGAGAGAGAGAGAGAAAGAGAGAGAGAGAGAGAGAGAGAGATCGGGGACGATGCACACGCAGGTAAATCGGCGTGACTCCCTCGCGGGCTCTACTCTCTCGCTTTGCGAACACAAACTTCTTATCGGCGCGATAAGGTGCGACTGATAAAAGCCGCGGGATACCCGTTCGGTTTCTATGCGTATGTGTGCGCTGTAGTAGCCTCGGGTTCTGTCCTATAAACCGCCTCAGCTGTTGAGCTTTAGTGTCGATGACTCCTCTCTTTTCCTTTCTCGCCCTACTGATAAGCCCAAAGTTGCGAAAGTTTGTGAGTAGGCCGCTTTGTTGCTGTTTCGTTCGATCTTTTAAAAGCCGCGGCAGCCGACGGCGCGAGATATGACTTTTCGCCGCGCGATCGTGTTTCTGCCGTGAAAAACAAAAAAAACATCCAGCTCTGCAACCAAAAAACTTTCTCCATTCGACTTGGCGCGCTATAAGGCGCGTCGCTCACTCTTCTAGTGTGAAATTTGCATATTAGCCGCTGGCGCTCGGTCACGTGTTCGCTCCGCCTGCCGGGCGCGCCGTGGGAGTTGGCGTTGTGCGCGCACGCGACTCTCGCAGTCACCCGCGTAATTTCCAACTTCAATTTGTTAGCGCGATCTCTCTCTCTCTCTCTCCCTCTCTTGCCAGCGCGCGAGAGTCCGTCCGGAGGCAATTTTTCTTCCTTAGCCACTTGTCGCGCTTGTTTTACCTCTCCCCCTCCCCTCTCGTGCCTCTGCCGTTCGTCGCTGAACATTCGTTTCGCCGTGCTTTGTTCGAATTGCCTCGTTATGCGCGTCAGGTGATGAGCTTTTTCAATAGCTCGCGCGCCAAGGCCCTTTCTGTTTCGCGAATGGATCTTAATTAATTTTTCTTCTTGTTGATCAAGTGTCCCGAGTTAATTAGTGCAACCCTGACGCTTATATTCTTGTCTATTTGGCCACGGAACGTACGCTGACAATTTTAATATTCCAGAGTGCCACGATGCTGACCAATTTAAGAAAAATTCTTTTCAAACGTACAAGCCGTTCGATAATGTCGACGTCGGTCCTCGCGGCGCGACGGCACGAGCGATCGCGTAAACCGTGATTGACACGCCTCATTAAGGCTAAGTTTGCATTAATTAGCCGCTGAATATTTGCGGAGCGAGCGGGGCCGAAACAGACGTTTATATCGACCTGTCGAACGGATCCACTTAGCGCGGAGTTGACGCGCGGTGCAGAATCGATGCGCGTCGAGATGATGTAATTGATTGTAAAGTAGCCGCAGCCGCGCGCAGCTCGCGCGCTGATATTACAGTGATCTAACTTCCGCGCGAGTCCTCGGGGACATTAGCGCGCTCTGCACTTTATGCTCTCGCTCTCTCCCTCGCGCGCTTCAAGTGGTCATAATAAATGCATATTACGATCGTCCCCCATCTGCCGTCGAGATGAAGCTGCCTCCGCCGCGAGAATGCCGTGATGAAAATTTCATGCCTTTCCTAGGATTATTTAGCTCCGCCGGGCTTTTTTTTGCATTCTTTCCAGAAAATGAAAAATTGAGTAACGACGGAAAAATTGGAGAAAATGAAGTTTTCCGAGCTTGGCGATCGGACGCGAAGATTTTTCGGCGGCGTTCGTCAGCGGAGGTGGGGCGGCTCGAGCAGCTGTCGCTGTTTGACTTTGCGTGCCCTGGGGCAGAGGCGCGAGAGGAGAGGAAAGAACGACAAAAGTTGAAAAGGGAATTGGCAATGGATGCGCGTCGATAAGGGTGCCAGGCATTTGTTCGCCTCTCGCGAAGAAATTGCAACTCGTGTCGATCGCTCGCCTCCGTCTGTCTTTATACTCCTGTCGAGGGATGCGAGATATCTATCTATGCAAATTTGTTCGGCCAACCGTGCAAAACTCGCAGTCATTAACTGGGCAAGCACCGCCGACGGATGGCAGCGCTGATGACTTCCGATCCTCTCGCTGCGGATCGCCGATCGCCTTTCGCTCGCTGAAAATTCATCCGCGCTTTCCGCGCCTCGCATTTGCGCGCGAAATCAAGGCGAAGCACGAAATCTTTCGACGAGCAGCTATCGCGTGCGTATAACAGAGTATTCATTATATCTTGGAATTTTCATCAGAAGGATTATAAATGCAATTGATTTGTATTTTAAAACGCAGCGGATTGAAATGTTGTCGGATTAAACCGGATTAATTGGTTGAAAGTTGGGATACTACATTTTAAGTCGCTAATGAAATTATTTGATTCTCACCCATGCCGTTTTAATAATAACAGTACTACGGTAATCCAATCCTCGTAGCACTGTAATCAATTAAATTGTCACTTTGAATGTCATTCGTTTAAAATAATTAAAATGAATTAACTACATCGTTCATTATAAATCTCATTAAAATACAACATAAACACGAAGAACGAAGGATTCGACGCAACTTGATTACGCGAAGAAAAACGCGTAAACAAGCCAAACACCCATCCTTGCAGCAAGTAAATTTTTCAACGGCATCAACCAAATTTGTCTTTCGAAATCAAACGAAGCGTAATCGAATTAGTCGCGAGCGCGTCGTCGTCGTCCTGCTCCTCAAACTGAAATATCGGATTGAAACTTATGTAAAATTCAACGTAGCGACGTTTGCTTTTCAATCTCCCGCGGATGTTTCAACCTCGCAAGCTCTCTTTCTCGTTACGGAAGTACACCGCCAGTCGTTTGACGCGCAACAGCTCCATTTCCCCCGACGTTTTTACTAGGATTCCTCTGACGCACGTTGGTTTTTAGTTACAAACTTATCTTCCCCGATCATGCAGTTGCGTCGCTTTTTACGCGAAAATACATACTCTTTTTGTCTGCTGCAGGCGCATTTTTCCTTTTTCTCTTTTCCTTTCCATCCGTTGAATTGCAGTTCAATCGCCTATCCGCGAATGAGAGGAAAAAATAGTTTTATAACGACGACGTATTCCGCGCTTTGACAAATCCATTCGCGAGAAAAATAAATCAGGCCTTTAAAAACTATCAATCAATAGTACAACTTGGGGAGGGGGGGGGGTATCGACGCTATCCCACCCAGCTGTTCGACCGGGAAAAGAAAAAGAAAGTTCGTTTGTACGTGTCGAGCTCTGCGCGAGACATTTTCCTCGCTGAGAAATGAAAGAAGAGGGCTTTGAGTAATAGTTCGACGCGTGAACGAAGTTATAATTTTTCGGCGACCATTCATTCGCTCGCTTTTAATTCGAAACGGTTCGCGCGCAAACCGTGATATTAGCATATACACCGTTCGATTGCCAGTATCCGTCTCCGTCTCCGTTTTTTCTTCTCGCCGGCACGCGCCTCTCAACAGATTGCCACTGCTCTGACTACTTCCGAGTATCTACGTGTTGTATGTCCCGGGCGCCCTCGTGTTCTTATACCATTACGCGAGTACAGCTTATTACGTTGCGAAACTATGGTTTTTTCCGCGAATTCTCGCTTTGCTAACTAAGAGATTTTCTTGTTATTTTTTTTCGTTGATTTGCATAATTTCCGTCGTGATTTTGAAAATAGCTTATTATAATGCATGCGAAAATTTATCTGCAAAAGTATCTCCGGATGAAATAATTTCATTGGGCGAGGGAAAAACATCTCAAGACGCGCAGCAGCTTGCTGACCACTTTTTTCAAAAAGACTCTTCGATCGCCGAGGGTATAATCGTGAGCGTTGACCCTCTTTTCCTCCCTCTTTTCCACGATGACTTTGCTCGCGGCAGTGCTTTCAGCGGCTGCCGTAGCTACCTGTGTCATATACGTATAGCAACTTATAATTGTCCAGTCGACGTAAAGTTTGCGATGACACTGCCATCTCGCTGGTCTACTATTTCTACTCGTATGTGTGTGTGCATATCGTGTGAAAGTATCGCTGGAGTGCAACGTGACAGACGCGGAATTTGTTGCGGAGCTCAATTCGCTCCTCAACTCCGTCAGCGAAAGTTTCAAATCTATTTTTCGCTGGTTT